GAGAGTATAGAGAGAGTAGTTCAGTACATGTACAGTACATGTGTGTATGTGTACAGTCAGATGAGCACACTGGTTCAACAAATTGCTGAGAGTATAGAGAGAGTAGTTCAGTACATGTTCAGTACATGTGTGTATGTGTACAGCCAGATCAGCACACTGGTTCAACAAACTGCTGAGAGTATAGAGAGCAATGAGTGTAGTATACACTGGTCCATCATATCGACATAACAGTAGAGTTCTTGGTCATACTTTGCAATAATAGCTCATTTGCGTGCGTGCGTGCGTGTGTGTGTGTGTGTGTGTGTGTGTGTGTGTGTGTGTGTGTGAGATGTGATATGTACTTAAGGTTCTTGAAAAATGTATTTTGAGTTTGTGGAAGCGTTACTTACCTGTTTTCACGAAGACAATCGCTCTCTTTTCAGTATCTGTTTTCTTGTCTATAGTAATACTGGTTCTGTAAGGGGTCTCATTATAAAGTGTGCTAGAAGATCTCACAGTCTTCTGCTAGCCGATTTAGGCTTTACTGATGATGACAACCGGCGCTTGAAATTCAACTCGGTACGTTTGACTTCGCATGTTGTCCGAAATAACTATCAATTAACACATACCGACTTGATCTGATTTCCTTACTTCAGATATATCATTACCTGAAAATGAAGTTTATAAAAATCTAAATTGCCAGGTCACATGACACGGTGCATAACAACCAACAAGCCGAATGTAGGAAGCCGGAAGTGATTTCAAATTAGCAGGTTCATATTTCAAATGTCAGTAACAGTTATTTGTATTTATTTTCCGTAATATGAGATGGACCTGGTATGCATCACACGTATCTACCACGTGATACCTAAAAGGTGCAGGTGAAACTGTTTCATCTGTCAGCTAGTGTTGGGAAATAGTGATGAATAAACGCGCGCAAAGTAACTATGCGAAGCCTTGTAAATTTAGACAAAATCACACGTAATTGGCAATTTACAGGAAAGTGTAATTGCAGGAAAATGACACAAGTTGTCACCAAAGTTCAAACAAACAGCTCCATTTCATAGATGGAGCAGATTGAACATTTGGGTGATTACAAAATGGTTGAGTATCGGAAAGATGACCGGCATATATAATGCGTTACTCGCTCACCTATCATATCTCATAATGCATTCGACGAGAAAACGACACTTTTACGACGCTGAGTTTCACCTCAAGGTGGTTTCCTTTGTCGTATGTTTCAAACGAATGATGCGCGGAGATTACTCACCCGTGAAGATCGGGGTTAGAATTGGCCTTTCCATTCGCACGTGTGGCGCGGAGAGGCACTGCTTTCCGTACTTTGGGCGTGTATTCCTGATGGCATCTGTAGCTTCTGAAGGAGCAGTTCTGCTGTGAGTGAAAGGATGGATGTCCTCAAGTGGACTGACAAGGTGTAGACGAGGGGGACTGCAAGAGGATACAAGTCTGTTTGTGTGGGACATGTCTCGGGCGAATGTGTGCCAGTCTTTCAAATAGAAGAGAGCAGAGAGTAAGCCAGGTTCGCCAAGCAGTGATGGGTGCACATGCGTGCTACAGTCCTTAGACGTCTGTCTGAACTAAACTGTGTCACGGTAAATTAGTTTCACGTGGAACAACCAGATGATCAACGGTCTCACGTGTACACCAAGAGCGACAATCAATCAAAAGTGACAAAACAAAAACTGGATGCCAGACTCTACCAGTTTGAAACCCAGCTGGAAACAGGTTGGTATTATTACAGTTTCTTACAGACAAATCTAAAACCCATTTACATATTTAAAGCCAATAGCTGACAGACAGCTGCAAGAAACATTTTCATTTTCATAAAAATACGAATGCAAAGACATAAAAAAACATTCTAACAAAATATATAAACTTGTCGCAGACTGTATTGGTACGACTTATCTCAGGTGCTCCACTCACTCCTGCTCAGTGGTATCTCGTATAGGGGAGAGGGGGACACTTTCAAATGTCACCTTTGTTTTAGACCAGTAGGCGAGGAGAAATGTTCTTCCCTTTTCTGAACATCAGCTAACATTGATCTCGTATTTTTTTAACAGGTATGTACAGATACCCTTGTCCCTTTTGCTTCCTGTATGGAGAGCTAAAAGAATAGATCGTTGAATCTGAATAATAATAATTATAATCTATTGTGAAAACTCTTTTCTGTCAAAAGGCATTGCTTTGCACGAGATTACTAATTGAAACACTAAACGTTCACGCACCATCCCGTACGTAATATTGTGAGGGAAAGCCATGTTCAACTTTCATGCATTGGGACCATAACAAGGTACGGTATGGATTTACAACTTCTTTAATATTTACAACCTACCTCCCCAGAACAAAATGGGTCTCTCTCTCTCTCTCTCTCTCTCTCTCTCTCTCTCTCTCTCTCTCTCTCTCTCTCTCTCTCTCTCTCTCTCTCTCTCTCTCTCTCTCTCTCTCTCTCTCTCTCTCTCTCTCTCTCTCTCTCTCTCTCTCTCTCTCTCTCTCTCTCTCTCTCTCTCTCTCTCTCTCTCTTATTTTCAATTATTTTGTGTACAACAGAACTATTTCCTGAGAAGGTGATAAGATAGCTTTGTGAATGTGAGCCAAGATATTCCTCCTGCACTGATTCAAAAGGAAGTAATGCATTTTCCTTGTTTCACGTCAATATTTAATTGTGCGCGGATTCGAATACAAGGTTCAATACCAGTTCTACTGTTAGTTCGAGAGGTGTAAGGTTGTCGACGCCATGGCGTGCCTGAACACGTCAATGCTTGCTTCAACAAGAGAACTGTTTCTAATCCATATGTCTTCCGTGATATTCCTTCTTCTTGTTCTGGTGTTTGGAATAATTGGGAACATTGTGGTACTGTACATTTACAGTCAGAAATTAAAAATAGTCATTTTTGGATATTTTGTCAAGATTTTGGCTATTTTTGACATAGTCACAACATGTGTTGCTGTGCCGACCACGCTGACATTCCGACTTGCCTCTCCTGAATATTTTGACGCAGAACGTTTGTGCCAGATGACGATATTCGCGAAGCACTTCAGCGCTCTTAATTCTGGAATTATGTTCATCATCATAGCATTTCAAAGGTACAGGAAAGTATGCCAACCACGGAAGACCCAGATGTCAGAAATGCTTGCGAAAAAGCTTTGCCTAACTTCATTGCTTGTGTCTGCAGCTGCCAGCACGCCAATCATATTTGTCGTAAGTGAAACGGTGATATGTGTTGAAAGGGGAAGCGATGTTGTTCTTGTGCCAACTTGCGATTTTAATTCCCAGTTGAAACTAAGACCCGAATCGATCATGTATGCAACCTGGGTTAGTGTTGAACTTATAGGAATAACTGCTGCTCTTACTGTCCTGTATGGTGCTATTGCCAAAGCACTAAGAGTTCACAACAGTGACAGAGCTGTGAGTCTCCGCCCTACAGAGAATACATTCAGGAATAAAACCAGGACGGCAACTATCACCTTCTTTTTTTCTTACTGTGGTGTTTTTACTGTCGTCGGCGCCAATGGTGTTCCGAACCATATATTCAAGTTTGGTCAAAATTGACATATACTGGTCACGTGCTGAGTTGGATGGCATTGATCTGGCTGTAAACTTGATGTTCCTCAACTGTGCCGTCAACCCATTTGTACAGCTTCACTTCATCTGCGTTCAGGAGAGAATGTAAACGTGTTCTATGTGTCTCGAGTTCTCGGGAGCAAACGTCCACAGTTCAGGAATCTTCGCTTCAAAGTCAACACAACACTCCACCAATACATTCTTCCATCACAACATAAATAACGTTTATTTTCCTTTGAGGACCTATCGTGTTTCTTAAGGCAAACAGCTATCCTGACTTTGCATGTGTTTGCCCGTGGGATAGAATAATAATGATGATAACAATAATTGTGCTTTTATAAGGCGCTAAACTTCATTCACTAGGTGAATGCTCCTAGTGCTAACAATTTCACCATTATTACCCCGGATAGCCCAGCCTGCCAGTGAGGTGCTAGGTAATTAGTCACATGACTTATCCCACCGGGTACCCATTTTCTGCTCGGTGAACAGAGAAAGTTTTGAACAAACATTCTTGCCTTAGGTGAGACCACGTGTAACACATGTGCTTCAACTCGTTGTGGGGAAGGACTGAAGTCCTGGAAAGTCCGTTGTTTAACTTCAAGTGGTTGTGACCAAACCTCTATGCACAGGACCACACGCCACTACACCGAATACGCTCACAGCTTATATTGTCAATAAATGATGAATGATTTATAAATCGACTCTTTGAGATTTTGTCGTGATTATAGAATTTTCTTTCTTCGAATGAACGTCCTTGAATGGTGGAGTCGGATGACAACCAAACTGATTTTGCCTGTACATTCTCATTGATCATACTTTCATGTTTTCTTTCTTAGGAGCTTCACGTGTTGTGGTTAATTAATCGTGTTTTGTTTTTGTTGCCATTAAATGCCTATTAATTATTTTGGGGCGAAGATAAATATTCCTTTAATATATACAGTAACAAAACTTGTATCTAACGTCTCTCATAGTCCCTGAACCGCGATATTTTCCCTTCTGTCCAGCCCTTTCTGCAATGTTGAAGCCCTAAATGAAGCAAGTCTAGATTTCCTCAGGAATCGCCCATTGCACTGGGGTTACTTTTCAATTAAAAGGAATTATTTGTTTCTCTCAACATTTTATATATACTGGGCAAAAAAAGAAACGCATAGCTAAAATCTGTTTTTCAAAGTATAATGTTTTTAAGGTGAAGGCTTGAAATCAATATGAATGTCATGTGGTAACATTACACTAATTCATTGCACACGAACGCAATATTTGGTGAACTGTCGCCAAAATACAGCACCTTGAATTAAAATTGGGAGAAACCGCATCGAAAAAAGCTTTAAGCATGTTGCATGTGCAAATACGGGTACTAAAGCTTCATACCGGTGGGTATAAAAATCTGACAGTCCTGTTGCGAATCACTCTAAGCTGTTCCGTATATCCGACCCTCAAGATGCCAAGACTGAATGAAGGCTGTAGAAACAGAGCCATTGGACGTCTGGAAGCTGGAGAAAGTCAGTCATCAGCAGCCAGGCACTTCAATGTGAGGCAAAGTACCATCCCACGTCTGTGGCAGCGCTACAAACTCCACAACTCTACAAGAGATCGACCGAGAACTGGTAGACCAAGGGTCACAACTCCGGCGCAGAAACGCTTCATCCGGGTGTTGCATCTGCGCAACCGGACAATCAGTGCAGCAAACACAGCCAACAATGTTCCTGGGCTTCGTAGAGTATCAGCGCAAATCATCAGAAATCGCCTACGACAGCATGGGATACGACCAATGCGACCATTCACAGCGGCATCACCATCGTCGTGCACGTCTGCAATGAAGCAGAACCGTTCGACCATGGACCCCTGCACTGGAGGAGGATCTGGTTTAGTGATGAGTGGCGGTTCTTGCTGTATCTACCGACGGAGAAATGAACACTACACTCGACATTGTATTCGTCGATAGATACGGCGGTGGGGTGTCATGATGTGGGCAGGCATATCCTTGAATGGTAGGACAGATCTGGTGCACGTGCAGGGAAATTTAACTGCTGTACGCTACCGTGATGAAATCCTCCAACGTAACCTTATTCCCGCCATTGACCTCAGAAGAGAGAGTGTTATCATGGATTATCTTGCCAACAACAATGTTAATGTGCTGTCGTGGCCATCCAAATCGCCGGATCTCAACCCCATTGAACATTTGTGGGATCTGCTAGACAGACGCGTACGACGCCGACAGCCTCAACCACAGACGCTACAACAGCTGAGCCATGCATTGCAGGATGAGTGGAGAAGAATTCCACAACGCCAGATTCGACGACTCATTCAGTCCATGCCCAGGCGGTGCCGAGCAGTGATCGATGCTCGTGGTGGTGCCCCGATTTCTCGAAACAAACTTAAGTCTGAGTTTTGACTTAAGTCATAGTTTTTACTCAAATTTGAGAAAACGCAGGAAAATGCACTTCCCAGAATAAACTGAAATCAAACTTCTAGTGTCAGGAATAAACTTAGTAGACAGTTTGAATTTGGTGGATAGATTACTTCAGTTGTTTGTTACGGTTTTTATATTTAAAAAATGCAGTTGAGTTAAAAAATCAGCTGTTTCAAATTGTTAAACTCAGTTTGAAATTTGAGTAAAAAACTTAAGTTTGTTTCGAGAAATCGGGGCCTGGTTCTGACTTTGTCACAGTGCCGTCACGGTATGGCCGAATTTATTCTTCATCGCTGTATTCAACGAGACTTTGTCTTCTTTGGTGAAATGAACGACGCCTCAGCGCTACGGCAGCCATATTGTTTACTGACACAGATGTCCCCAAAGAGCATTAGATGATTGTATGTAGTGGAGGAAACATGTGCCTAGCCCTGTGTAAAATATGGTTGTTGTACATTCTTTATTTATTGTGTAATCCGATATTATAAATCACGTAAAGGTAAACTTATATTTTGGTTATGCGTTTCTTTTTTTGGCCAGTGTATTTAGATTGCTGATAAAAAAATACGCCCTTCAGTGCAGAAACTTACATCAGTATATGAATCATGGACCAAAATAGAAAGGGTTATCAAGTTTAAACAGTGCCCCTCAGTTGAGCTATGCCTTGATTTTAACACTAAAAGCCTTTAACATGCACAAACGGGAATTGGAGATTGCCGTATTCACTCTAGTAAAGTGAAGTCTTAGTGTGAGTGAATACGTGTGTGTGTGCGTGCGTGCGTGCGTGCGTGCGTGCGTGCGTGCGTGCGTGCGTGCGTATATTTATGTAGGTAACCTCTGCCGATGATTTCACGTGGAACAAGTCACCGCATAAAATATATACCATTCTGACTTAGCATTTCTACATTTGAGATTCTACGTGAAGATTCGGTATGGAGTTGATCTTCCAACTTAAGCGACAAATGGGTTCGGGTGGTCAGGCTCTCTGACTTGGTTGGCACATGTCATCGTATCCCAATAGATACTCATGCTGTCGATCACTGGAATGTCTGGCCCAGACTCGATTATTTGCCGACCGCCATCATATGGCTGGAATATTGCTTACTGTGGCGTTAAACAACAAACAAACATTTGAGAAAGGCAAGTCTGTTTCAATCAATCTCTTATTCGGTAGAAACATATGAAATATATTTATGAGTTGCTGTCAAACAAATGAACTGCACAAAATTAAGGCTTCTTTAACACAATTTGAGATGGACAGTAAATTAGTTGGATTATCATTTTGAAAATCACAGATCATGACACATAGGTATATTTTCAAAGTATTTACCAATAAATTGATTTTCCTTTGCAAACCAATGACACTATCTGAAAATAAACACAGGTCATCTGCATACAGCAAGAGATATAATTCCAAAAAACTCTGCGCAAATAAAGCTACCCCCTATCCGATTTCTCCTTCTCACCATGAAGCTGATTTATAAATAAAGAAAACAGCAACGGACTTAAAATGCACCCCTGCCTCACTCCGCTGAAAGAGTCAAAATAATCTGTAACAGAAGAACGCGATAATTTGACGCAAGCCCTCGTTTTTTAATAAATATCCTTGATAATATTAAACATACGATCGTGAATATTATGAAATAATAAAACTTATCATCCAAAACTGTGTTCCACAGGAGATATCGCTTGTGTGAGATCAAACGATATCTCCTAGGAGATATCGTTTTGACAGTAGATTTTGTACAATGCCCTGACAATGCTGTGACGTCATGTACTTGATGACGTCACAATGCTATGACATCGCTGCACTGCAAGTCTAATGGCAGTACCATGTTCAGAGATGTACATTTGTCATTGAAACTTATTGAAGAGTGATTTTGGATGATAAATAGAATCTCACCCTCGTGTCTTCTGATATCAAATATATCAACACTCGTTGATAAAGTAAAAATATCCTCGGCAGGCCTCGGATATTTGTAACTTTATCAACTCGTGATGATATAATTGATATCAGAAGACACTTGGGTGAGATTCTCTATCTATTACAACAGGTCTCTGTCAATCGAATCGAAAGCTTTACGAAAATCTACATATAGGCATATAAGCGCCCTCTTGATTTTGATAAATTCTTTTGAACAATGCTTTGCAACGTGAATATGTTATCTACCATTGAATACCCTTTACAGAAACCCCCTTGACCCTCAGGATTCATATCCATAAATTCAACAAAATCTTCAAACGGTTATTAAGTACAGAGGTAAACAATATACCGTAAATATCCATGAGCGATATACCACGATAATTACTGGCATCATGTTTACTACCCTTCTTATTCAAAGGTCTGTTTCTAAGTAAAGCAATGTCCTGTTGACATGAAGCGTGTTTTTTAACTTCCTGCGTCTGTTCAAAAGGAAGTACCTACTATTTCCTCGTTTCACATATATATCTATTTCAGGACAGTTAGTGAAGCAGTGTTATCTGTTTTCCCACAGATACGCCCATCACACTACAGCAAGCTCAGTGCCGGGGAGAGGTGTCCTTCTTTCCTTGAAACAATATCACTCGCCATGATGACATGCCAGAACAGATCAATTTCTCTGACAACTTGGGAACATTTTACATTACATAGTCCGATGATGATGTTCATGCTCCTCATTCTGGTGGTTGGAATATTGGGAAACATATTGGTGTTGTATATATATACTCGGAAAATAACAATAGTCGTCTTTGGATTCTTTGTCAAAATACTGGCTGTTTTTGACCTGGCCTCTACTGTGGTAAGTGTCCCAGCAACGCTGATTTCGCGACTTATCTCCCCTGACGACATTGATTCCGGACATATGTGCAAGGTCATGACATTCGTGAAGCACTTCAACGCTCTTAATTCTGGAATAATGTTCATCATCATAGCATTTCAAAGATACAAGAAGGTATGCCAGCCACACGACACGCAGATGTCAGAAATGCTTGCGAAAACGTTTTGCCTAACTTCATTGTTTGTGTCTGCAGCTGCCAGCACGCCAATCATATTTGTCGTAAGTGAAACGATGTTGTGTATTGAAAGGGGAAGCGATTTTGTTCTCGTGCCCATTTGCGATTTTAATTCCCACTTGAAACTAAGACCCGAATCGATCTTGTATGCAACCTGGGTTAGTGTTGAACTTATAGGAATAACTGCTGCTCTTACTGTCCTGTATGGTGCTATCGCCAAAGCACTAAGAGCTCACATCAGGGATATCGAAGCCTGCACTCATCCTACAAATAACTCTGGCAGGAAAAAAAACAGGACGGCAACTATCACCTTCTTTGTTCTTACTGTGGTGTTTCTACTGTCGTCGGCGCCAATGGCTGTCCTAACCGTATATTTCAGTTTGGTAAAAATCGACATATATTGGTCCCATGTTCAGATTAGGGCCTTTGATCTGGCTGTGAACTTGATGTTCCTGAATTGTGCCATCAATCCATTTGTGTACAGCTTCACTTCATCTGTGTTCAGGAAGGAATTTAAACGTGTTCTATGTTTCTTTAAATCTGGAGAGCAAACATCCGCAGCTCAAGGCTCCCAGCTTCAAAGTCAGCCCACCGTTCCAGCAAGGTTTTCTTCCAACACAATATAGAAACAGTTATATGCCTTCACTGAATGTCTTGGAACTGTGTAACGAGATGGATCTGATCTTTTCCCCCGAACTGGCCACATGCAGCCTACCACTGTTGTCAGGTTGTCTCATTGGAGTTACGATCGCATTACGGAAGGGCTGACAAGCTAATACTCCAGTCTACTCATGGATGTCTGTATGTCTCGTTTATGTTATAAAACGGTACGCATTCACAGTTCCATCGATCGTGGTGTGTATATACCCCGGTTATACTCCTGATAGCATGCCTTCCTTGTCAGTGGAATCTGTCCATCTGTCTGGTCCTATACATTATGTCAGGGGTATGAGACAAGAGTGGCTGGTAACAAGCAACCCAACGCATGCACATCTTTGCACACAGTGTAATATATTGGCTTGTACAATCTATCTCTTGTACGATAAAATATTGTAATTTTTACACACAATATATTAATCAACTATGTTATGACTGAACTGGTGATCAATGCCGGGGAAAACACGGCTTCCCTTGCAGGATTGGTTGGTTTGTAGTTTGACGCCGCAGTCACCAATATTCTAACTGTATATGGCGGCGATCTGTAAACAACCAAGTCTGGACCAGACAGTCCTGTGATCAACAGCATGAGCATCGATCTACGAAATTGGGATACGATGACATGTGTCAACCAAGTCTGCGAGCCTGACCACCCGATCCTGTTAGTCGTCTCTTACGACAAGCATAGGTTACTGAAGATCAATTCTTACCGGATCTCTATGTGTATTTCGAACTTTGAACCACATTATTTCCCTTTCGACCTGGCATGCCCTTTCACAAATGGTTGCTTTCACTACTGAGACTCTTTTTCAGTTTATTGTGCTTGTTGATATCGAAATATATATTTTCAGAGGCGAATCGTTAGTCTACAATCGCTGTGCCAACAGCAAGATCCTTCGAATGTTTGGTAAGCCCGAGTCTGCTGACATGTAACGGTTCCCGACCCTCAACACTACAGCAGAGACAAACCAATCACATTCTACATAACTGGATTTGTATCTTCACTTTCACCAAGAACATATGTAAAGATTTATTTTTGTTTATCATTGAAGATGAATGTTTATCATTGAAGTTTTGTAACTTTTATGTAATTGATTACTGGTATCTCGCGGGGTTTTCTCGTTCACCCAGCACTTAGTGGGGTGAACAGTATGCTTGATTGATTGTGCAAATACTGTTCGTCCCTGTGAGATATGGTCCGGCCAGCTGGAGGATTAGTGACCACAGCTTACTGATTAGATGGTTGACAAGTGTTCACCTACAGACTCAAGATATGATACCAATAAGCATTCAGTTATTTTGATTTGTTAACATCACTCTAAGTGAACTATGTTAACTGGACACATGTATATAATGTGCATGTGTTGTCTTGTGCATGTATCCTCCCTGGCAACATCTAGGTTGGCATAATGCCAAATGGTAGTAGATTTAGTGTCAAGACATGGAGAGCAACTTCTATCCACCGGAAGTATGTTCAGAAGGGTTGTCGTGCTGCAGCCAACACCAAAGATGGCCTATTGACATAGTACTGGCGAACACAACCATTCTGTTGACAACGGACAGATTGCCATTGCCAGGGAAGGGCCACGGACAACAAACAATGTCGAGGGCTGGATCAGGAAACTCAGTGCTTTCACTGACAACCATCACAACGTCTACAAGGTGAAAGACTCTTTTTTTTCCTTTTCTTTCATGAAACAAAAGTCTTCTATCATAACGGTCGTTACATAATGACATATACAAGTACATGTACATAATCAGATATCCAACCGACCAGGATGTAACACAGTTAGTCCTCCGAAATACTAAGGTGTATACCGTGTTGTATGTAGTGCAACCTCAGACATATCATGTTTTATATAGCGAAACATGTAGCATACATTGTTGTATATAGCGTCATATCAGACATAGCATATTGTATATGGGGTCACATCCGACATGTTGTATATAGCGCAACATCCGAAATATGTCATATATAGTGTCATATCCGACATATCATATTGTATATAGCGTATCAACCGACATGTCATGTTGTATATAGCACCATATCCGACATATCAGACCGCCTCCGTGGTGTAGTGGTTAGAGCGTCCGCCCGGAGAGCGGAAGGTCGCGGGTTCGATCCCCGACCGCGTCATATCAAAAGACGTTAAAATATGGTACTTGTTGGTCCCTGCCTGGCGCTCGGCATTAATGGGTACAACAAGGACTGGTCGGCTCGGAGTCAGTAAAATGTGTCTGAGTGGGGTATTCCTGCTTCACTACGGCATGGTATCTCAGTGGGCTAGCACTATAAAACCAGCTTCAGTCTGGGCTAGTCCAAGCAGCCGCACATACACATACACACGCATGCACGTCGTCATGTGAGCAAATATTCTCAAGCACGACGTAAAACCCAATTTCACCTCACCTCACCTCACCTCCGACACATCATATTGTATATAGGGCCAAATCTGATGTATCCTGCTGTATATTGCGTCACATCCATCATATCGTATTGTATATTGCGCCACATCCGACATATCATGTTGTATATAGCACAATATCCAGCATACAATGTTGTATATTGCGTCATATATCCGACCTATAATATATGTTCCCAATGTTACATCAGTGCACCTATAAATACGTTAACCAATTAATCAATATATAACTAAAACAAAGATAATTTTTCAAAAGGGGAAACCGATCAAGATTTTACAAAAGCAGTTGCTGCATACACTGGTCAGGTTTGAATGCTGGGAATAATTGATGCCATTTATTTGCAAATTTATTCATTTTATTCTTTTTTTTGGCAATGAAGTTTTCAACAGAAAAAAATATCTTTTAAAGTCTTTATAAAGTGATAGGCTTGTTCAAGAAAGAACAGGCATATGTGGAGTCGTCTGTTCTGCAGTTCCGAGATGCTGCCAGGCCACCACCAAGAAAGAGACGGTACATCGAGGTGGGCAAATGACGTGGAACCATCAAGGCCAGACTTCAAGCTGGTGATCTGACTCTGATTTAGTACATAGATGGTGTATCTCGACTCACTGGCTATTAACTATCATGTAAAATATGTAACGATAAATATGTTCGATATAGCTGAAACTCCAAAACAAAAAGCTGCTGGGTGAACGAGAATGACCCTGCCTTGCCGGTGTGCATTCTCGACTGTCACGGTCCTATGATCTGATTGCAATGTTGGTAAGAGACGAGTTTTGAAATAAACCATATTTGCTTAAAGAGATGTGTTGTAAATTGTTATTTCTGATTCAATGTAACAGTATATAAATCACTTCTGAATATCGACCATATCAACAGGGAATATGTGTGATTTACAGTACGTTATTTGCTGGTCATGCATAACAGGCTGTGTGGGGCTGAGGTAATCAGAGCAAGGAGTAGTATATAGAACAGGGGTACGAGATCACTTTTGTCAAAGGCCTCTGTAAAGCTTTATTTCATAAATAAAGCCTTTATCAGGCCCCGATCTCTTCCACTAGTGTATATACCACTCAACCAACTTCCTGGTCACTATGACCGCGAGCCAACACTTTCCTGGTCACGTGACCCCATTGTAACGTGAGGTAAAATCAACATTGGCTTCCTCGGGCACTGTCACTCGGTTATGTTGATATCATTGTTTATATAAGTCCTTATCGTGTGCAACCTAACCTTCATCTCACTGTGTTTCGCGTGCCTCAGGTATTATATTATTAGAATTAAAAATCGCTTGTTACATTATAGGATGGAGTGCAACGACCTGCTCGAACAACTGTTGGTGGAGGGTGATAAGCAAGAGGAACTGGTGGACGACGACAAGTGAGAGAAGGGGAAACGATTCGGTACTTTCGTGGGGACTATACCCCTGATAAAATCCAGAAACTACCCGCCGATGAGGTCGATGAGCTGTACGCGAGATACGAAACTCGGGGCAGAGATGACGAAAACTATAGGGTCGGCCATGACGCAGATCTACACCGGTTTGGCGTCGTACTTCCTCCCCATTCCCCCGGAACCACGACTTTACCTGCGGGAGGATCTCGAGAAAGACCCGTTCATCGAACACGCTTTGGGCGCTGTCAGCTGCGTGTTGTACCACAAATACAGTATGTTTTTAGCCCCAGTGACGGCGGCGATCATCACGGCATAGCATTTTTAATTTAAAGAGGGGAAAAATAATAATAATAGTATACAAGATGGATCAGGAAGTGACTCCGACGTCAGAGGAGGAGGAAACCCCGACACAGGAGGAAACCCCTACACAAGTCACTAAGCAGAAGAACCCTAAGAGAGTCGCCACCGGTAGAAAAGGTGGCCTAGCCAAGCACCATAAGAGTAATTATACTCTGTGGATAGCTGTAGGCGCAACTGCTGCTGCTGCTCTCTCATTATTCATGCTACATCGTAAATCCCCAAAGCCAACCCCACCCCCACAGACACGAGGAGAGGTCAACCCCCATATTATGTTATAATTAAATATATATTTCTATATTATATACATCATGTCTGAGGGGAAAACGTTCATTGACGAAGCATACCACGCCGTAGCATATCGCCCGGTTGACCAAGATGGTCCTCAAACAACCGACTATCAAGCTTGATTTCGGCCTGCAGGATATGGGCATGCTCATCATTAACCTGCGTATGGCGATGGCCACCAAGGACATCCTCGTGAAACAAGGGATCATACCGGGGAATATTTTGAAGTAAATATAGGTATATATAGCATGGCTACGATCGCTATGATGGTCGGGGGGGCTTTAGTCAACGCCCTGGCATTTTCCGGGAGCAATTACCTCTTATCAAAACTACGGGAGTCGAATGCGGCCGAGGTAGAAGCAGAATGAAAATGGCACGACATAGCCGTGGAGAAACTGCAAGCCGCGCAAGCCGAGTACGCGAAGAAAGGTATGCAGAGACTCGATTACATTAACGATCGACTCGAGCGTGAAAACCATGCCGTTCGAACGTTCAAGGACGTCGACGACGACGTGAAAGAATACTACCTGCTGACCGGCAAACAGCTTGAACCACTCGATGAACCCACACTCTCTCAGTACTACGCACCCTCCCCGGGGCAAAAGGACCGAGAACTGGCCTTCGTCGTGATGGGCCTAGCAGCGACTGTGTTAATCGCAAAGCAATTAAACTAGGTACCCATATGAGTATACCAAAGATGAGACCTGCCCCGTATCGATGCCAGTACGTGCTTATGGGGAAAACCGAGACCTGCAGTAGGAGATGCAGGACTGAGGGGTACTGCTGTTTTCATAGGAGGTGTTTCATGAACTACACGTGCTCCGTGTGCGGCATCGGAGTGAAATGCCACTACTGCCTATGTAAAGCCCACGGGGCAAACGTAGTCCGGCACCAGCTTATCTACGAGAAGAAAAAGGACTACATAAACGAACGTAGGCGCCTCCTCAGGATGGAAGTGTAAGGGCCCTCCCTTGGCAGAGGCCCAATTAAAAACTGTGTACACCTAGGTATAATGATGCCTGCGTTCGTGCGAACTACCACCCTGAAAGGTTACCAGAGAAGCTGGCAGATGAATATAGCCGAGAGCATACCCGTCACCGTCATCAAACCTCTGATCACAGGTATACTCGAAGAGGAACTGAATGGCCTGGGGCGCTTCAAATTTCGGTGGGGCTTTTAAGTATACTTTCCCCATCACAGGTGGACGAAAAATCGCGACTCAACCTGAGATAGATAGGTACCTCAACACCTCATTACAAAACATACAGGAACACCTGGAATGCTTCCCCCAGTTCTATCAGAGCGGGTTGAGTACAGAATCGAAACGGCCTATCTAAGCATAGCCGATTACAACGCTGAAGTGGATCTACTGGTGCCACCCCTCCACCTGCTCAAGGCAAAGTTCCACTAAGGCGCGCTTTATTTTTTTACCTAGAGCTGGAGGAGTTACCTCCCTTCCCTAGCCGGTGGCTCATTTAGAGATTGTATACATCTGACTATACACCTGGGCATAACAATGTCTACTGTCCTGGAGCTACAGTTCGTGGCGACTGAACACGCTATAGGTAACTATATGAAGGGCTGGCGGATGAATGTAGACCAAAACATAGACATCGACGATGTCAAACCCATGATCGCTGGCAAAGTCAACGAGGAACTGACCGATCTGGGGAGCCTCAAATTCCAAATCACGGTGAAAATGTGGCTTGATAAACAGCAGGCGGACGGTAGCAGAGTGTACGTTAAGCCTTACTTCAGGGGTAAACAAGAAGTCGCGACTCAACCCGAGACGGTAGACGAGTCCATTGACACCTCGCTTCAGCAAATACGAGAATACCTGGAACGCTTCACGTACAGGGGTTCAGGGTGGGCCGTGGACAAAATCGATAAGGTCTACCTGGACATACCTAACTTCATGCCGTTCAGAGGCGGATCGTACCTAGACTTACCCCCCTACTACAAGAAGAAACAAGCCATGGTCAACGTCAAAAACAGAGGAGACGATTGCATGAGGTTAGCGATCAGGTAAGCCTTGTTTCCGGCCGACGTTAATTCAAACAGACCTTCGAGCTATCCCCAAGACGACAGACTCAACTGGGACGGTATAGACAAACCCACCCCTTATCTCAGGTCACCAAAATCGAGAAACAGAACATCCACATAGCTATCAACGTCTTTGGGCACGAAGGCAACAAAACGATCGTGCACAGAATCAACCCAGTGACCAAGGGCCGCGTGATCAATATATTCATGATCCAGCGAGGTGACAAGTACCACTACGCGTGGATAAAACACTTCACCAGGCTGTTGTACAACCAATCGCAATACAGAGAGAAAAAACACTTATGCGAACGGTGCCTGCACAGCTTCACCCGGGCCGACCTGCTGGAATCATACCGGCGTAGGGCAGACGGCCATACAAATCGACATGCCCAAGAAAGGCGACAACACCCTAACATTCGACAACCACAAGAACCAGTTGCCCGTACCTTACATCATCTACGACGACTTCGAAGCCCTCGTCAAACCCGTTGACATCGAGCTGTCCACAGACAAGAGCTTCACTCATAAAACAAAGAGGCAGGAGGCCTGTGGGTTCGGGGACGTGGTGTCCAATCGCTCCCGTGGTGTACAGAGGTCCCGACGTGGCTGAACTATTTCTCACGTGCTTGCAACAGGAAGAGAAAACCATCAGGAAAAGGCTGCGTACCGCCGCTCCCATGCGTATGACCCAAGCCGACCGGTGAGCTCACAACAGCAGCACTCACTGCCACGTGTGTGACTCACCCCTGGACGGCGATTCGGTGAGAGACCACTGTCACATCACCAGGGAGTACAGAGGCGCCGCTCACAAAGCGTGCAACCTCAAGCTCAGAATCAACCCCGAAACAATCAACATCCCCGTGGTCTTCCACAACTTGAGAGGGTACGACTCTCACTTGATCATGCAGGCCATCGCGAGGGTCAACAGCAACCTGACGTGCATCCCCAACAACATGGAGAGATACATCTCCTTCACCCTGAACGGCCTGAGGTTCATCGACTCAACTCGACAACTCAAGGAAGCCCTGTTCAAGACCCGCACCTTCAGGCATCAGATGAACACGCTGAGAAGCAACGGAGACAGGATAACGGACTGATGATAAACAAGACGTCCCTGTTGCTGATGGACACGAAGCATTGGATAGCCATCGATGGGATCAACACGTACGTGTACGGGCACGAAAAATTGAACTAAAAATAGACGAATGTATACGATGTCACGAGGCCTTGAGGCCATTTACTACAGCCTGCGTGGGTACTGAAAAGGGGCTAGCGCCATACACAAGCTTGCCAAAATGGCGAGAGTATCCCCGGACGAGGCCAAAGCATGGCTTGAAAAGCAAGCCCTGTGGCAGATCTACCTACCGGCACCACGCTACGTGCCTAGAAGAAAGTTACAAAGCTACAAAGAAGCTGAGCCCTTAACTGCGAAAGATTCCGCCCAAGTAGCCCGCGCGTTCGACGAGCGCATATACAAGCGCAGTCCGCTGACGTGGCCCACAGAGCTGCAAGTCGACCCCTGACGGGAGTTCATGGGTGCCGTGTCACAACTGCTAACCAAGCACGGCGTCCAGGTCAGGAGTGGCGCGACCGGGGCTCATCGCAGCCAAGCCATAGTTCAGAGATTCAATCGGACTTTGGCCAAGCGCTTATTCGGGCACACCCAACCACACACCAGCACCAACACCAGCACCCACACCCACACACCAACACCCACACACCACACCTACACACCCACACCAACACCTCCAACACACCCACACATCATTACACCAACACCAAGCACACCCACACCACACCAACACACACACTCACACCTAACACTAAATAATTCCACACACACTCCAACATGCCCACACCTAAGGCACTACAACACACACACACTACACAACACCAACACCACACACCAACACCCACACCCACACCCACACACCTACACTCTACACCCCACCAACACCCACACCTAAACACCTACAACACCACACTCAACACCCACACACATACCAACACCAACACAACACTCCACACACACACACCCACACCCATATACACACTAACCTAACACCCACACCCACACCCACACCAACACCTAATACCCACACCTACACACCAACACCACACATCCACACCCACACCAACACCCACACACCAACACCAACACCAACACTACACCCACACCCACACCCACACCACACACAACACCCACACACCAACACCAACACCAACACCCACACCCCACTCCACACCCACACACCCACACCCACACCTACACCCACACCCACACCCACACCCACACCACACCAACACCTACACCCACACCAACACCAACACACCCACACCAACACCCACACACCAACACCCACACCCCACACCCACACACCAACACCCACACCCACACCAACACCTACACCCACACCCACACCCACACACCCACACCCACAACCACACCCACACCCACACCCACACACACACCAACACCCACACCCACACACCACACACCAACACCAACACCTACACCCACACCACTCCAACACCAACACACCCACACCAACACCCACACCCACACCCACACAACACAACACCCACACACCAACACCCACACCCACACCCACACACACCAACACCCACACCACCCACACACCAACACCAACACCCAACACCCCACACCAACACCTACACCCACACCAACATCAACACCCACACACCAACACCCACACCCATACCAACACCAACACCACACACACACACACACACACAAACCCTTACACACTAACGCACACCCACACCCACACCAACACCAACACCCACACACCCACACCAACACCAACACCCACACAAACCCTTACACACTAGCGCACATCCACATCCACACCCACACCCACACCCACACCCACATCCACACCAACACCAACACCAACACCCACACCCACACCCACACCCACACAAACCCTTACACACTAACGCACACATACGCAAACACACATCTGGATGCTGAAGTGAAGCGTAAATACATCAGCGTATTCTTTAATCTCTTTCAAGTGTGTCATGTAACTAAATATTCATAAATACACAAAGTACTATAATAACGGCGTGTAATTATAACTTGGCACAGTAGAGACTCAAGACCATGCCTTGGAACCAGAACAGGATAGCTATACTCGAAATGTTCGTAGCCCTACGAACTTCTTAAGCCCATTCTTAAGACATTGACTACGATCAAAGTTATTAATTCTTAGGGCTACGAACGTTTCGAGAATAAGGGCCCAGATCACTATGATGAGATTTGATGCTTGTGGTAACACAAATCAAACAGAATATCGGGTGGTCAGGCTGAGTGAAATTTACAGTTTCCAGTTACTGTTTTCCTGGCCCAGACCTGATGACAGATATCCGTGTCAATACTACTGGAATAACCTAACTGTGTATTTACTGATGTTATGCACAGTTACGTTTTTCCGTTAGTAGACGTAGCTGGAATATTACTGAGTCGTTACTACATTGGCTCAACCCCCTACATCTTCCTGAGGCATTGCGGCGTGCCATCCAACCTATATCAAAGTCTAGTGAAGACTTGGCACATCCGTGCCACACCTACCTACCTACCTACCTATCCACGCACCCACCCATCTACCTACCTATCCATGCACCCACCTACCTAAATATCTACCTACCTACCTACCTTGGCCAATTAAAAGTCGTGGGCATTTCCATGCTGTAGAAAAGGTTTCCTAAGAGGTGATATTTTTGTTTGGTGACATTGAAATGTGGGGCGGAGGACACAAGGAATCGGCTTCACACAGGTTTGTTAGATTAATGAGAGTACATGATAGCATAACCAGTCCTGTGAACTACAACCAATGCAGCTCAATTGTCAGAACTTAGACCAAGCCCTTGGGGTCTAAAGCTAGGCACTGTATGTGAGGGATTTCAAGTACAGTGAACAGGATGGGCAGTGTAAAATAATAGCTACAATGAGGTCAATACACGTGAATATGTCCACCTTTCATCCTTCAGTTTCAACACTCCAATAAAGGAAATTTTGAACATGAGGAAAAACATTAACAAAACTTCTCCAACTGATCACTACTTTCGATTTAAGGAGAAATTATAAATAGAGGCTACATCATCCAGGAAGCTAGTACCTACTGCTTACAATAAAGGAAACACGTCCTTCAGTACAGAAACATACATATGAGTCATGGACCAAAATAGAAAGGCTTACCAAGTTTAAAGAGCCTATAATATGCACAAACACGACTTGGAGATTGCTATATTCACACTAGTTGCACATGTCATCCTATCACAGTTGTGTAGATCGATGCTCATGATAATGATCACTGGAATGTGTGGTCCAGACTCCATTATTTACAGACCGCCGCCACATGGCTGGGATATTGCCCGCTCCGGCATTAAACAAACAACAAACAAACTCTTACTCAGAGTTATTCAGCCAGAGCATAACATTTAATACTTATTGCAATGTAGAATGTAATGTCAAGAAGAGTGAATGCACTAGCTACCACACCGCTTCATGAAGATGTTTAACAAAGAGACAGGCAAGCTTGTTTCTGAGTAAACCAGCGTCCTGTTGACATGAAGCAAGTTTCTTTGCTTCCTGCGTCTGTTCAAAAGGAAGTACCTACTATTTCCTCGTTCACATATATATCTATTTCAGGACAGTTAGTGAAGCAGTGTTATCTCTTTTTCCACAGATACGGCCATCACACTACAGTAAGCTCAGTGCCGGGGAGAGGTGTCCGTCTTTCATTGAAACAATATCACTCTCCAAGATGACATGCCAGAACAGATCAATTTCTCTGACAACTTGGGAACATTTTACATTACATGGTCCAATGATGATGTTCATGCTCCTCATTCTGGTGGTTGGAATATTGGGAAACATATTGGTGTTGTATATATATACTCGGAAAATAACAATAGTCGTCTTTGGATTCTTTGTCAAAATACTGGCTGTTTTTGACCTGGCCTCTACTGTGGTAAGTGTCCCAGCAACGCTGATTTCGGGACTTATCTCCCCTGACGACATTGATGCCGGACATATGTGCAAGGTCATGACATTCGTGAAGCACTTCAGCACTCTTAATTCTGGAATAATGTTCATCATCATAGCATTTCAAAGGTACAGGAAAGTATGCCAACCACGGAAGACGCAGATGTCAGAAATGCTTGCGAAAAAGCTTTGCCTAACTTCATTGTTTGTGTCTGCAGCTGCCAGCACGCCAATCATATTTGTCGTTAAAAAAACGATGATGTGTATTGAAAGGGGAGGTGATTTTGTTCCTGTGCCAATTTGCGATTTTAATTCCAACATGAAACTAAGACCCGAATCTATCTTGTATGCTACCTGGGTTTGTGTTGGACTTGTAGGAATAATTGCTGCTCTTACTGTCCTGTATGGTGCTATCGCCAAAGCTCTAAGAGCTCACATCAGGGATATCGAAGCCAGCACTCATCCTACAAATAATTCCTGCAGGAAGAAAACCAGGACAGCAACTATCACTTTCTTTGTTCTTACTGTGGTGTTTTTACTGTCATCGGCGCCAATGGCTGTCATAACCATATATTTCAGTTTGGTAAAAATCGACATATATTGGTCCCATGTTCAGATTAGGGCCTATGATTTGGCTGTGAACTTGATGTTCCTGAACTGTGCCATCAATCCATTTGTGTACAGCTTCACTTCATCTGTGTTCAGGAAGGAATTTAAACGTGTTCTATGTTTCTTTAAATCTGGAGAGCAAACATCCGCAGCACAGGGCTCCCAGCTTCAACGTCAGCTCACCGTTCCAGCAAGGTGATCTAACACATTATAGAAACAGTTATAATATACCTTCACTGAATGTCTTGGAACAGTGCAATTAGAGGAATTTCATCTTTTCCCACGACAGGTCACAGCCTACCACTGTTGTCAGGTTACCGCACTGGAGTTACGATCGCATTACAGAAGGGCTGAAAAGCCAATACCCCAGTCTACTCATAAATGTCTGTATGTCTCGTTTATGTTATAAAACGGTACGCATTCACAGTTCCATCGATCGTGGTGGATATATACCCCGGTTATACTCCTGAGTGCATGCCTTCCTTGTCAGTGGAATCTGTCCATCTGTCTGGTCCTATACATTGTGTTCAGGAAGGAATGTAAACGTGTTCTATGTTTCTTTAAATCTGGAGAGCAAACATCCGCAGCTCAAGGCTCCCAGCTTCAAAGTCAGCCCACCGTTCCAGCAAGGTTTTCTTCCAACACAATATAGAAACAGTTATATGCCTTCACTGAATGTCTTGGAACTGTGTAACGAGATGGATCTGATCTTTTCCCACGAACTGGCCACATGCAGCCTACCACTGTTGTCAGGTTGTCTCATTGAAGTTACGATCGCATTACGGAAGGGCTGACAAGCTAATACTCCAGTCTACTCATGAATTTCTGTATGTCTCGTTTATGTTATAAAACGGTACGCATTCATCGTGGTGGGTATATACCCCGGTTATACTCCTGAGTGCATGCCTTCCTTGTCGGTGGAATTTGTGAGTGAGTCTGGTCCGTATACATTTTGTCAGGGTTATGATACAAGAGTGGCTGGTAACAGGCGACCCTATGTAAATACACCTTTGTATATATTGTAATATATTTTTCTTGTACAATCTATCTCTTCTACGATAAAACATTTGCGGTTTTTGGGGCAAAGATATTATTCAATCATTTGAACTGGAGTAGACACGGCTTTCCTTGCAGGGTGTGTAGGGATAAACTCTATGTGTGAAGCCTATGATCTTATGAGCTTTTAACCACATTAGATTGTCTGGTCCAGATTCAATTATTTACAGACCTGCCGCCATAAAGCGGGAATATTGATGAGTTAAACAACAAACCAACTAAAATCAAATCACATTGTAAACAAAAAGTCACTGTGTTCTTTAATGTGATTGGTTGAAAAACATGTTCAAATGGTATTCGATCCCCAAATATTGTGACGTATATATTGAGAATACGAAACGATGTCCCGTGGAATAGTATATTTACGAAACGAGTGAATGGTTTGGTATCTAACTCGCTTTCGCTCGTTAGATACCAATACCATTCACGAATTTACATGGTATTACATGGGACATAGTTTAGTATTTTATTTATTACTCACCCAACATTAGCAAAATAATATCGAGCAAAGTACTTCAGGAACCTCAAACGTTACTGCAGAGACAACCCAATCACACTTTACATGGTTGGATCTGTGTCTTCACTCTCAGCAGGAACATATGTCAAGATATATTTATGTAAAATGCATACGATAGGTTAGTAACCTTATGCACAATACAAACATGAGAGTTCACTTCCGTGTTTCAACGCTACTCTTACGCTCCTTGATTCCATTGTAATAATTGTGCTCAGAGACGACTTTTGAAATAAACCATATTTGCCTAAAGAAATGTGTTGTAATGTTTTATTTCTGATTCAGTGTAACAGCATATACATCAAATCTCAATATCGACCATGGCAACAGGAAATATGTGTGATTTACGGAATTTACTGGTCATTTCTTACATGGGTGGCTTGGGTGGATAGGAAATGAGATTAGATCAAGTATTCCTTCTCAGCAGTGCTCACATGTGTGATAAGCAACGTCGCTTCGGACAATTTTTCTTCTTCTGTCTTGATCTACAAAACAAACAGGAAAAAAACAGAATAAGTATGACTACTTCAGAATCTTCAGGTTGGCCTGCATGGTGTCAAACTAAGCAAGACAAACAAACCTATCTGATGCATTCAGTTAGACTACAACAAAATCAACAAAGTTTCTGCACAGTACGAAATTAGATGAACTGTACAAGTTACTCACACACCAAAACAAGAAAGTACATGGTGGTTTGTTTGGGGTTTTTTTATTTTGAATGACAGTGTAGTCCAGTTTCATTGGACTCATTAAACGGAATATATTCCTGAAAGTAATGTCACCAACATTGGGAGTCATACAGGGGAGCCTTAGGGAGCTATACAGGGGGTCCTTAGGGAGCCATACAGGGGGGGGCCTTAGGGAGACATGCTATATTTGAATATGGTTTGATAATGAAATTCATTCATTAAGATGGGTTGAGTTAGGACACATTGTCCAGTGCCTGGCTGCTCAACTCGAAATTTACTAAGATGCCCCTTACACCTCTCAAAGTCCACAAATTAGACACTTAAGGGAAGAAGCACTGGTTGAAAAGGAAAGCAGAAATTACTGATGTACATCCTATAGTTCCTTGGTCAGATATTACCTAGAGTCCAGAAACTTTGACGAATCCTACAAAACCATGGTGGGACACCCAAAGTCTGACGCCTTTTGAACCTCGTTCAGCATTTGCATCTCTGGTCCGACATGTAAGTCTGTTACAGCGTTGTTGGGCTTCTTCATCACTAAAGTGCGTGCGTGCGTGTGTCCGTGCGTGCGTGCGTGCGTGCGTGTGTTATAAAGGTATGCTGATGCATATGAATAGTGTGTAATGAAATGAACTGTCATATGGTCTTAGAGGTGTGACATGAGATATTTATTTCTGCCTGTCTATTTCAGGTGCTGGAAAGACAGTGGGTGTTTCGTTTTCTCAAACATCTGGATGGCATGTATGTGACAAATTCACCCACAAAAGTGAACATTGCCCTCAATACATGGTACTTGGTATTGTTTAAAACTATGAAAGACACTTCACAAATAACCACTTTAGGTCGACAGCTCTTTCCAGCACATTCTGGAGTGTTAGTAGGAGCCTACATCGATGCTGTGAAGATCACCTATGGTTATTTAGTGGTGGACATGTCACCCCTTGATGTAGATAAACATGGACTCCGAACTCGCATCTTTCCTGGAGACGATCCTGTGGCGTTCACTCCCAAGGTATAAACATAAATGACAAGGGTATTTGATTATCATAATGTCCAACACGTTGAAGCAGGGAAGCTCTACAAACTATTTCTCCTGCACAAAGACATCTGGTGTTAAAACATATCACTACACATCAAGTGAAAGCCCTGAGTAAACTGGCCATCAATATACTCCATCGACAATTCCCTTTATCCAAGTCTTTACATGTCAAAATCAAAAGATGTAGACAAGAATTCCCTAGTGTCTGTGGGTAAAAAGCAAGCTGTTCAAGCGAAAGAATTGCTGATCTCTTTAATGATAAAAGCCACCCTGCCTTTTCTCAAGAAACATTATGCAGCATCTCAATAAATCTGTGTTAATTCCTACTGATACATATGAACTCATGGTTTTTCACAGCAGTGTACAACAAAAGCAAACATTCGTCCATGAGAATGGAATACATACATCCACATTGAAGGAAGAGTTAAACATGAATGTGAATGTGAGTACTTTACCTAAATCTAGTCGTCCAAAGGGCGGAGCCTTGTTGAGACTGATTATCAATAATCTTGAACATTGTCTTGGAATAAGAAAGGTCATGTCATGTATAATGGATGTGTGATTCATATTGTAGACTTACTCAAAGATTCTCACTATCTCTACAAACGGATTGAACCCAAACGCATGACATAATTCAGTCAAACCTTGAAAGACTTGAACTACCGCAAAGTCTGATTGGAAACAAACAACCCTGGGGAGAAGAAATGGTGAGTACCTAATTGACTCCTGTAACACCTTCACCACTACTCGCTCCAACTATTCCTGTGCGACAGAAAGTCCCAAGAAAACAATTTTAAGAACTTTAAATGGATTACATTGTAGATCTTACCTTTTGTTTGGATGCGTGACAATGTAAAGTAGATTACGGGTGTGCTCCTAGTCCATAGAGCTTCTCTTTTTCTGAGAAAATGGAACTATTAAACACTGATGAAGTGTTATATCTTTCTTGTTTGTTTGTATTAGACGCATCCTTATGCTATAGTCATGAGTAACAGTCCAAGTGACATAAAAACGGCAATATATCCCAACTGTCCTCCAATAGGGGACTTGTGTGGGCAAGTGAATTTAAATATTTTTAGGGGGTTGATTTTATTGTACTTTGATGTAAATAATGGGTTGACTGGGATGGGATTGCCCATTGGCAGTGCAATGGAACTTAAATCATATTTGGCAAAATTAAAAGAATCCTTTTCATAACTACCATTAAACGCTGCAGTCGAAACCAAAGCCACAATCACCTTCTCAGGACTTCTTGAGTTTCTATATCCGTCTTCTTAAATGGGTATTTTGCAGTGTTTTTTTGTTGTTCTTTAGCCTGCAGGGTAATGATACTGGCACTGGGTTGTATCTAACACATGCGTAGGTAAACGTCCATGATCTTGACTGAATATGATGGCTTTTCTACATCGAACATGAGGTTGAATACCGTTGGAGTTCTGTACATCTTGATAATCAGTTTAATACCATTCAGTAGGAAACGATTACTTTCACATGTATCCAAACATACAGGACCTTCCATGTCAACTAACTTATTTTCATCAGAGACCGCCTTCGTTGTGTAGTGGTTAGAGCGTCCGCCCGGAGAGCGGAAGGTCGCGGGTTCGATTCCTGACTGCGTCATACCAAAAGACGTTACAATATGGTACTTGTTGGTCCCTGCCTGGCGCTCGGCGTTAATGGGTACAACAAGGACTGGTCGGCTCAAAGTCAGTATAATGTGTCTGAGTGGGGTATTCATGCTTCACTGCGGCATGGTATCTCAGTGGGCTAGCACTATAAAACCAGCTTAAGTCTGGGCTAGTACAAGCAGCCGCACATACACACGCATGCACGTCGTCATATGAGCAAAATATTCTCAAGCACAACGTTAAACCCAATTTCACTTCACTTCACTTCACTTTCATTAGATGCAATACCCCTTATGAAATTAGTACCAGCGAATGGGTCTCCACTGTATATGCCATCACTCGTATCTTTATAAAACAGTCGTGACTGATGTCGATGACACACATTCATCAGAGCTTTGAGATAGCTCTCGTAATGGAACAAATTAGTGGAACTGGTCAACAGTCTTCCATTTAACATCAGATAAAGTCAACTCTTCACTGAAGCTACATGCCCATCTTCTCCAAGGGATGACAAGTCTGTTTCTTTATTTTGGCTTGGACATGTAAATCGGACTGTGTCAAATCAGTGTAATCAAGACCTTGTCAAGGTTATGGAGTTTTTCGTAGTGACTTGAGAAGTGGATCTGTAATTGACATAATAGGCCTTTTCATGTGTAAAGAGTGGGGGGAGAGGAGGGGGGTTGGGTGGTAGGGGGGTTTAAACTGTACAGGTCAAACTCTTTTCCACTTGACTCATCATATACTTCATTGGTGTTGTCTTCAAAACATATCTGTCATAGTCCAGTGCTGACACTGACTTGTTTGGCTCGACTGAGGTTACTTTCTTTACCATCTGCTTTTATAGCTTTACGCTTTTCACAAGCTTAATAGATTTTGACCTGTTACACGACTTGTTCAGAGGGTGATTTTATGACAATTTTGGGTTGCTTACATGAGAGTTCTTTCTGGTTTTGAATCCCTTGGTCATGATCGTATGCTGCTAATATAGCATCAATGGCTACATACTTTCTATTCAGATGATCGTAAGGAGCCAGCAATCCTTCAGATTTCAAAGTAGCATGCCTAAGATACTTGTTGGAATCGGATACATAAGGCTTCCACTCTGGGTTCTTCATGATGAAGAGGATTGGCTTTAAATGAAGCATCACAATAAATGACGCTGACATGAATGATGCAAGTTCACCCTGTCTGCCTGTTATATACATGTGGATACTGTTGGACCGTGTGCTTTTTAAGAGGGAATAGTGATTTGTGATTAAATACAAAAGAACGTTCTCTTGTATTCCGTCTCATTCACAGTCTTCTTAGTGGAGGTTCTTTGTTTCCATCCTCAAGTCATTCGATTCTATGAGTGAACTGTACACATAAACAGTTTAAGATATATATATCAGCTAACGCCACTTTCCATTTCTGACTCAAATCGATGGACTCGTTCAGATGGACTTGTTCAAATGGACTCTAAACAAATAAAGTTTGTTGTCGGGATAATAGTATTTACTATCTGTACTTCGCACCATCAAATATTTTCCATGTTTGGATTTAATCATGGGATTAGGGAGGATTTAACCTAAACAACTACTCAACAAAGCAGTCCACAAATTGGAATTCTCTTGGTCAAGAGGTGATGATGCAAGTGATGACCACAATATAGATAATAATGATTTGTGAAAAGAACACAGTCTCTGTCTAGGCTACTTTATGTCCAAACACTTTCCAGGATTCAGGTTTATAGACACCACGAGACGATGGTTGAGCCTCTAATTATTCCTCCATACTCAATGAAAGTTCAAATCCTTTGGCCATCCTATTTATAGTGTTTTACGTCAGATGCAAGAATCCACGAATTGAATTTTTTTAGGCCAATGAAGCCATTTTACCAGTACTTCTTTCTGTTTGTTACTGGTTCTTTTCTTTAGTGCTTCTTGTATTCTCTATTCTTGTTCGGGATTGTCAGTCACGGATTGTAATTCTTCACCATAAAAAGTACCTTCAATAGAGTCTCCACTCTGATCTTTGAGTACATGAATGTCCCGACCTTGAGACCAGTATCTTTTCATGATAGTAAAGAATTCTCCTGGCCATTTGTCTTGGTATTCACGGTCTAAACCTTGACGTAAATGACTGACTTTATTACCTACACTGAACGTAAACTGTTTCTTGGTTTTGAGTGTGTGAGTGTTTCCTGATCAAATACTGAGATAATCTCACTTCACTTTCATCAGTTTTGGTCACACTAACCGAGTCTGTCCCAGAGAACGATGTACAGTGTGAATGTAACTCTTGGCCACTTAGGGTACTATATCATTGTATCTATAAGGGAACATGTATGTGTCGAATCTCATTTTGATCGTTTTGATGACTCGTTCAGCATGAGGCTTTGGTTTCATTGTACAAAAATAACTGAGTAACATCATGTTTCCTGAGAAATTGTTTAACCTGATGATTCTTCAATTCTGAAACTATGTTCAACTGAAACATGCTAGGATGACATAGTCGTGTGCTCCCTGACTGTGTTACAAGCTTTCACTACTTGCTCACCTTGGTAGACTCCAGAGAATAAACCCATAAATATCGGGAAAACAGATGGATGATAACCAACAGATATTTCACTCCATCATTATATGGGGCTTAGCTAGACATATCCATCAGATCTGCTTGCCAGTAACTATCAAAATCTTAGACCACATACTGTCTTCTGGGAAACTTTCTTCTGACTTGATATGGAATAATATAGTTCTCCTGACCTTTCAGCCAAGATTTAATCTTAGCTAAACTGAGTTTGAATCGACCTTCAGCTTTCACGTCTCCATAGAAGTTAACAGGGCCAGCATAACTCCCAGGGTGTTTGGGATCATAATAGATACGGTGGAGATACTCTTCCCATGGAACCACGACTCCAAATGATGACAGCATGCAAAGACTACACTTAACATAGACAACAAATGCAAATATACTCTATTGTTGATTTATTAACAATAACAGATAGAGTTTCACAAATGAAAACATTACCTATTTTACAATTAACATCACACTCATAGTTACAAATGTAAATCCACATGACTACCCCAGCGGGCCACACCTCTGAGGTACTCGCACCAGGTGTCAAATACAGACAGTCTGGAGACCATTTTCACGTTCGACCCAAGGATCATCATCTACTTCCCAGTTCTTGAGAATGCGACCACATTGAAAACACTTGCAAGCGTCCCCCCTGATTAAGTACACAAATCCTGCCTGGGCCATTTGACTAGGACTAATTTTCATTTGTACAGGCCAAGACTGAAACGTCTTCAACCATTCTTGGAACCTTGTTTCAGGTTTAAACAGGAGGGGGTACTGTCCATACAAAGGTCTTGGTGTCTACATACATCTATGTTTTGTCCAAGGTAAGGGAGTTCAACAGAGATCACGACTGTTCATGTGATGTACACAGCTGAAGTGAAAAAAACCAGTAGATCATGTTGTATTCATACCTAATGATTATACACATGCAATTTACACACAATCAATAACAGTATGCGTATAGTTTTGAACATGTTCCAGCAAGAATGTTGAGCATATTACACATTTTATTCATACCCACTTTGTGCCACAACAACACCAATCAAGTTTATGCATTAAGTTTTTACAGCAATGCTTGTCTCGCTTTCATTAACAACTGACCAGTAAATTTTAACCAGGCCACTTCCAAGGCTTCTTAATATCAGGATGTGACAATCCTAAACCAATACCCCAATGACTATCATAGGGACAGGCTTCTGCCATCTTACTGGGGTAAGTCCAACAAACACGTCACTGTTTCAAATGTCTTTTCTGAGTAAATCTGACTAAAAGTCCTTAATACATATTGTGTTCAATCACAGAGGTCTACAATGTCTGGTCAAAGGTTTTGACATGTTTCCCTAGTTGTTTTTCTTTGGCTGGTACAGTCTCTTTAAAGTACATTGCTTTAGAGTACATGTAACACTGTTCAACACGATTAAATGTAACACCATCCAAGTTATCGCTGATCAGTTATCGCCATTTCTTCGTGTTACATGTATTTCTGAATTATTCCGTGTAAATGGTTGTACCAACAATTTTGATTTTGGTGAAACTATGAGCAAATGTGCTTCTGATATTTAACACGACTAGGGGAAATGAAAACAGTGGAAATAGTCCTTCCCTGTCCTCAAACTGTATTTTCAGTATCACCATCGTCTAAACAGTAGGTGATCACATCTGCACTTGTGCCGCTAGTTATGCAAATCACATTTTACCATATCTCTGGTATTGAACTCTGGTATTTTATTCAACTTGCCGACTGCCAATCTGCCAAATTCGATCAACTGATGTCTTCCCATAACACTATACATTTCAGGTTAGTCAATATGTGACTTTATGTGACGAGGGAATATTATACATTAATAATGAACATATTCAAATGGTATCACATCATGTGGTCGGAGGACAGTGTGGTGTTGGTATTATAAGATGCGGAATATTTTGTTCCGCTTATGAGTATGTGTTTTGTAGTAGAGGACTGGAAGTAATAAATTGACCATGTGGCGGAAAAACTGAAACTGTTGTGTGGTAAATTGAAGACTGCAGTTGTAACTGTATTGGTCATACTGCAAAATCACATTGGCGACGAGGATAATAAACTCACAAGGGAGCCATAAAAGGGTAAACTGCAACTATGTTCAGAGTGTCCATTGGAAAGCTTGGATAGAGGAGCTTGAGGCTTACGCCGACAGCAAAGCATTATATGATGAGGAAGGAAAAGCAGATAATCAGGCACAAAGTCGTGCACTGCTCTTGCATATAGCCGAAGCTGGACTTTGGTGTTTTGGAGGTGTTTTTAAAACGTTACAAGATCTGGGGTAGTCTCAAGAATATTTCAAGGCAATCAAGGCTTTGAATGATCATCTAACTGTCAAACCTAATGTGACGTACCAACACCATATTTTCGAAAAAATGAAGCAGAGTGATGAAACTGTGTCACAGTATGTAACAAGGTTACGTGAGGCATCTGAAGGCTGTGCATATACTGATGTTGAAAACCAGATTCGTGATCAGGTGGTTGAAAATTGTAAGTCGGACCATTTGAGACGCAAGTTTCTGGAAAAAGGAGATGAGCTTTCATTGAAATCAATGTTGAAAATGGCTGCAACATTTGAAGCTGTCGAGGAACTTTAAAGGGGGACAGTCAGATAGGGTCCAAAGAATAAGAGAACAGAAAATATTCAACACAAATAGTCATCAGACAGGGAACGTCGACAGCTCCTGTTTCTGCTGTGGGCAAGTTGGTCACTACGCCAGAGATTCTACTTGTCCAGCAAGAGAGAAACAATGTCAAAGATATAAAGGGTTTGACCATTTTGCTTCTAAATGCTATTCAGACTTATCCAGAAAGTCATCAAAAGAAAAGAGAGCTAGAAGTGGTTACAGTGACAAGAAAACTAAAAGGTGATGTGAAGCATTTAGAAACTGAGAAAACAGACAGAGATAGCAGTGATGATGAAGACAATGAAGGCCAAGGTTATGCTTTCCTTATAAGAAGCAATGTGCACAGCATGAACAGAGGCAATGGTGACAGCAGTGAAGTCATTCCAGTGTCTGTGGGTGGTGTGACACTGACATTACTGTCGATTCTGGCAGTGATAGTAACATTATTGATGGAGACTTGTGGAATTATTTGAAGTCTAAGAGCATCAGGTGTGTGTCACAGAAGAGTGGCAAGAAGTTGTTTCCATATGCAAGTAGGACACCATTGAAAACTCTAGGCACTTTCACAGCAGAAATAGTAGCTGGGGATCACTGGACAGATGCCATGTTCACTGTGATAGATGGTAGTGCAGAACCGCTCCTCAGCAAAGAAACCGCTATGAAGATTGGTGCGCTGAAGATTGGACTCAATATCAATTCAGTGTGTTCTACATCAGAGATTCCTGAGTGCCTCAGCAAGTACCCTGAAGTATTTCTTGGATTTAGCAAAATGACAAATAGCAGATCAAGCTAAAATTCATCCAGAAGTTACGCCCATTGCTCAGTTAATGCGACGTGTTCCATTTGGACTGAGTGGAAAGGTTGAGTCTAAAGTTAAAGAACTCACTGCGAAGGATATTATTGAGCTGGTGGAAGAACTGACCCCATGGGTGAATCCTGTTGTCATTGTACCAAAGGCCTAGGGTAATATAAGGCTATGCTTGGATATGAGATGTGCCAACGAAGCTATCTCGAGAGAAGGGCACCCTATACCCACAATAGAAGAAGTGTTACAGGACATGAGTGAAAGTAGGGTCTTCTCAAAGTTCGACCTGAAGTTGGGCTTCCATGAACTGGAGCTACATCCTGAGTCGCGTAACATTACAACTTTTGTGACTCATTGTGGACTGTATAGGTATAAGCACCTGCTATTTGGGATAAATGCTGCACCTGAGATATATCAGCATGAAATCCAGAAAATCTTGCAAGGAATCCCAAGGATTGCCAATATATCGAATGACATTGTTGTCCATGGTCCTTCGACGGATGAGCATGATAAACTGCTTCAGCAAGTCGTTCAGAGACTTTCATCAGCAAATTTAACCTTAAACGTTGACAAGTGCGAGTTCAAGAAGTCCAGTGTAACGTTTATGGGGCACCATTTGTCAGATCAGGGGACTGATATCACCAAAGACAAAGTTGAAGCTGTTGTGAGTGCAAGACAGCCTGAAAATGTGAGCGAGGTGAGAAGTTTCTTGGGACTAGTAAACTTCTGCTCTCGATTCATCCCTGATTATGCCACATTAGCAGAGCTGTTGAGACAACAAACAAGGAAGAACCAGTCGTTTGTGTTTGGAAGGAACAAGTTGAATGATTTTCGTCACTCAAAGCTGCCCTTACAAGTAGTGAAACCCTAGGTCATTATAGTCCAGGGATTGGGATAGAGAACTTTGACAATGGGCCATTCTTAGGATTATTAGCCATTTTCTGAATTTAGAATGGGCCACTGCCCTTGTATCAGTAGTAAACTTCAAAATTTTAATGGGCCATTTTTTATTCTTATCTGCAAAATGGCCCATGGCTCCTGCCTTTCCAAATCCCTGTAGTCTAACTGGCAAAACAAGAGTTATACCAGTCCTGTTTGACTTGGGGCAGTCCTTGCTCAACAACGGACTGATACCTCATGGCGGATCAAATGCAAGTCGGTCCCTCAGTGATGTGGAACAGAAGTACTCAGAGTTTGTAAAGCAGAGTATTTGGGGTATGCTTGGTTATTTGGCTCAAGTTGTTCAGACTTCATAAAGCAATACAGTTACAGTAATTACTGCATGTCTCTGATGGGAGAGGGATGCCGTGTCGGTATTGTGAGATGCGGAATATTTCCGCTCATGCGTATGTTTTGTAGGAGATGACCGGAAGTAATAAATGGAGCATGTGGCGGAAAAACCGAAACTGTGTGGTAAATTGAAGACTGCAGTTGTAACTGAATTGGTCATACTGCAAATTCACAGACAGTACAACAACTAGCCAGAATATCGCACATATATCAGGGATAATATAAAACTAGTCACACAGCATGTAAAATATTAACTATCAATTAACAAATACAATGCAAACTGAGCTAGAGATCGCTAGCAAACAACGTTAAAACCGTTCAAGGGACCATGATTACTTAAAATACTTCTGCTTCCTACCAGGGAGACTATATCATCAAAATCATGAGAAACTCAAAGCCAACTTATTGCACACTTGATCCAGTTCCGACCCACCTGATTCTGGATCACTTGGACATAATAACGCCAGTCATTACGAAAATTGTCAATCACAGCCTTGTTAAGGGCAGTGTACCAACATCGTTCAAGAAAGCACTTGTGAAACCACTTCTGAAGAAGAATGGACTTGATGAGAACATTTTCAAAAATTATCGACCGGTTTCAAATTTATCTTTCCTGTCAAAAATCCTCGAGAGAGCAGTGAAAATACGACTGACATCCCATCTTGAAGCATTTGGTCTTTATGATAGATATCAGTCGGCATATAGAGCCTGTCATAGCACGGAAACATGTCTGTTAAGAGTTACAAACGATCTTCTGCTCTCTACAGATAAGCGGAACCTAAATCATGGATGGTGACTAACAAACTTAAGTTAAACGACAGTAAGACAGAGGCTCTTCTTGTGGGTACAGACACCAAACGAAAATCTATCTCTGAATCTTCGCTTCATATTGGTGATTCATTAATACCATTTTCTGATGCAGTGAAAGATCTTGGTGTCTTTCTAGACTCTAATATGGCAATGGACAACCATATACAACACACCTGTAGAATCTGCTTCTACCACCTGAGAAGTATTGGCCAGATTAGACATTTGTTAACTCAGGAAGCCACTAGCCAGTTAGTCAGGTCTCTGATTCTGTCCAGGATTGACTATGGCAACAGTTTGCTTATCAACATAAGGCAAGATCTACTCATGAAGCTTCAGAGAGTACAAAATGCCTCAGCTCGGCTAATTCATCGCTGCAAGAAAACATCCAATGTAACACCAATATTGATGAATCTCCACTGGCTCCCAGTACAAGCTAGAATCGAAGTTCAAAGTGTTATCCCTGACCTACAGCTGTTACCATGATGTTGCACCAGGATATCTGAAAGAACTTCTCCAGAAATATACTTCATGCAAAAACCTGAGATCCAATGATCAACTTTTATTTACCATCCCCAGGACCAATCTCAAATCCTTCGACCAGAGATCATTCTCATTCTGTGCTCCTTCTCTCTGGAACTGTCTTCCTTTTGATATCAAAACCTCCCCATCTTTAGCTGTCTTCAAGTCCAAACTTAAAACCCATCTCTTCTCCAAGTTCTATCCTTGATACCTGCGCTTTGAGCAACCGCTACGGATGGAAAATAGCGCAATATAAATGCACTTATTATTATATATTATTATATAAGGGGGAGTGGTCACTCCTCGGAAAGCCCCTTAGCGTATGCCTCGGCTCGTCACGTGACCAGTGTAGCCAATATGGCGGCAGCGTAGTTTTTAAGATTGAGCCCGGTTCATTTTCAACAGCTGATTACATACGCTGAGTGTTGTGACAACTGAAAACCTACATGTAGAAGATAAGTTACCTATTCTGTCACTTCATTTTAAGTCAAATAATTGTTATTAGTGTCAGTATTAGTACAGTAGATTTGTAGTAAAGTTTCAAGTCAGCATGTTGTAGCTCACTGGCTTCAATTCTCAGTACACAGCAAAGAAAGACTAACTTATATCGCTAAAAACTTCTTTCACATATTCGTTTAATTTTTAGAAGGGAAATATACCTTTAGTTGAAAGGTGTTTGCAAGTAAAAGTGATAGTTTTAGAACTAAAAAAAATTTCTTTCATTCATTCACATATAATTCTTGCTCTTAATTCATTCATTCATTCATTCATTGTAAAATTCCGACTGATACAATACACTGGCTGAAGTACTGTTAAACGCAGCCGAAGTTGCGCTGGGAACCAACCGAGTCACTGTGTGCGTTGGAGCATGACGAGGCACACGTTAATTAGTACAAATGGTAAAGAAAGCAATGGAGTGACCTATCCCTGTTGTAGAGTATCCCTGTTCCTACATAGTTAAAAAAATTAGCTTCCAGTCCAGATACATTTTGTGGGGAAAATAGCTACACTCAGGAGTTGTATTTGAGCCAGGGTCTCTAATATTTCCCACCAAGAGTCAGTTTTATTCATCACTTTGGGGGTAAATATTTCTCTTTTGCAATAAAATCGACTGCCCAAAATCGACAAACGTAAACAGAAGTGAAGCGCGAATACGTGCGTGCTAATAGCCTGTAAGCCATAGCTGGGGTGACAATGATTTGTCCTCGGTGATAACTGACCACTTGCTACGTACAAATGTGGTATTTAGTCATTTTAGCGACCGGTATATATAAAACCATGTCTCATACGTTTACGATACATCACGGCGTATAACTTACTTTGCTCATTTTAGATGTGCTTCTTTTTCCTTTGCTCGGCAAGCAGTGCAGGAGATGTTATTTTTAGAACGGGAATCACCCCTCATCGCGAGATTGTGGACGTGGCTTACTGGATGACGTCATAGGGTGCCATTTTGTCAACAGACCTTGAGAGTGTGTATCAGGTAAAACTCATTTGTTGCCATTTCCTGGTTTGTCATTCTCGTCATTTACTTGTCATTTGTTCATGCACAATTTTCAGCACAGTTGCAAGTGTTCTGTCCACAAAGTAGCCTTATCATAGTTTCTGCAAAGGTGTATATTCAAGCATAATCTATATTTCTCTTCGCCAACTGTCGTGTTTTCGATCAGATAGTACGACCAGTCGGGTTAGGGTATTGTATTTCCGTCATGCTTGATTGAATCTCAGGTTTGGGGGACAAATTAGTACCTGGTCTGTAAAATCAGTTATGAAACCCAAACAGTAGACTTTTTTGTATCTGGCGAAGTAAGCAGACAAATAGTTATTAAATGGCCGTTTCCCCGGGTTTTTTGATAGCCCCAACGTCACGGCATTTTTTATGATATTAATATAATATTCTGTATATCTACAGTCTGACCTATGAAGTTCTAAACTAACAACCGTCAGATGCGATAGAAGTTAGCATTTTATGAATGATTGAAGAATATTGAAAGTACTTTCATTTGAACGTAAATGAGTGTAGCAGTAAGCCCATTTCTGGTGTCCCCCGCGGTGATATTGCTGGAATATTGCTAAAAGCGGCGTAAAACTAAACTCAGTCAGTCAGTCAGTGTAGCAGTAAGTATGAGCAAAATTGACTCCTGCGGGTAATATCATAATATCCTTGCTCAAAAGGCCTATGACATAATGGAAGACATGTAAAGGTGTCACATGATTTGTTCATGTAAACAAAAATTCAACAAGATTCAACATTTATGATGAATATTTTGTTAAAGGGCCACTGATGCAGAGCAATTAATGTTTCCGGCCAAGCAGTCTAATTACGAAACCTAGCTGCAAATTGGTCAGCCCCTGTTCCCTCGACCGTGACGGACACGGGGACTTGGCTACGGTCCACCTTGGCAGAATTTCTTCAACCTAATCAGTGGGACATTAGGAAGGGTGGATGCCCATCGGATGCCGTTATTTGAAAATATCCCTGGTAGTTCTTGTTTGATTGTAATAAAGTATGCCAGCAGTGTAGGCATTTTCAGATTTACAAATGTTTGGATGGTATAGTGACTGATCCAATTTGATCCTATTTCTGTGGTTTTTACCTTGATATTTAATCATGTAAAAATATAATGTCTATTGTGTATGTTATGATATCAAAAACACACATTTCATATATTTGAATCCATAAACTAAACAACCCCACTTTGCCATCACTAAAAAAAACCTGAAATTGTACTTAGGTACATAGGTATATGTTTGGAAGCTTGACTCCTGAGAGTATCTAGGACTTCAGTCCTGCCCCACAACGAAGCGCATGTGATACATATGGTCTCACCTTAGGCAAGTGAGTTTGTTCAAACTTGCCTCTGTCCATCCAGCAGTAAAATTGGGTACCTTTATGATACGATGGTAGTCTGAATTTGAACCTTGAGTGCCTGATAGGTGACCGGTTGTATTCTCCAAAGGGAGTGTTCTGTACTCGTTGACCAGGGGTAATATGTCAGTGCTTTGAGCATGCAATGTGCATGGATAAATGCGCAATATAAATGGACTATTATTATTATTATTATTATTATATATACAGTTTCTAAATAAGTACACAGCAAATGTTTATATATATTTCTTATGTAACAATGAAGTTCGATCCGTGTGTATCGTCAAAACAGTGATGGCCCATAAGGGTTTTTTCAGACAATCAAACTTGCATGCAATACAGCAATTACTACTCTCTTGCTGTAACCCTTGTTTGGTGGTAAATCTACACGTTATTTGTCATCATTCACTTGATGGTCAGTTAATGAATTTATAAAAGGTATAATTATTGATAACACCACTCAGATTAGCTGACAAAGGTTCCCATTTGGCATTTCTTGTGTCTGAAGTAAATACTCATCATTATAAATTTAGGTCTGATGTGGCAAATGTATTACATCTTATGTAATATGCGAAATGGAAGTGCAGCAAGAGGAATTATCAGCAGAGTTTCAAAACAAACATCGATCAAAGGATTAACCGATAACACGCTGATTGATTAATTGCTTTTATCCTGCACAGCAGATTTGTCAAAAGGTATTGTGTATCATATGGATGTAGATTCACTAATCTATACTGAATACACCCTGTTGTAAAGTTTCTTTGTAAAAAACAACGTCCTTTCTTCAAAGGATTAACCGCCAAAACCTTGATTGATAGCTCATTATTGGCTAACTAATGGCGGACATCATGCAATTACTTGCCTGGTTTGCTATCTTGGGTGACCAATGGGATACACCAATGTTAAAAACCTGAAACGATAGATCACTTTTTCGCATATTAGACCGTTTAAAGACACATGACATGGAACAAAATTCTTGTTCAGCTGCAGATGAATGGCATCTCATTACTTTATGTGGATATTGATCGATTCATTCCCCTAACAAGGTAATTGCCTGAATTGTTGCTATAACTTTAGTCTGTTTTAATTTTAATATTTGCATTTTGTTTTAATCTATTTGTTATGGCATTCAACAAAATCATTTTTGTGCCGTGAAAGGTAATGAGACAGACAACATACACTAGATTGCACTTAGGGCGTGTGTGTGAAATATGATACACGTCCAGATATTACAGTCATGTTATAAGTTCACTAAGTATAAGCAGATCATGTGCATTTTATTAAGTTTCAAAATGCATACAAATATGATAACAAACTAATTAGGATTATAAGACATTTCAGTCCTAACATTTTTTACCACTGGCAGATGGTTAAACTTAAAATGTTTTCATTTGTTATCAAAATAATGCCATTTAATAAAACGTTAAGATTGACTAGTGGTGAACCCAAGCTTACTAACCTCCCCAAGACTCCCCATGTACTTAGTTACTCTTGCTTTCAAACAATGCTATTATTATCAGGCTTCTCACCGAATTCAAGGTCAAACTATTTCTTAAATCAAATTCTACATCCATTTACGTTAACATTTTTATTAAGTCAACATTACTATGAAATCAAAATTTACATCAAAATCAGCATTTTTATCAAAGTGAATATTTTGTTATAAGAAGCCAAAATATTCATCACAGTCTACATAATTTTACAACAAAATCAAGTTTATCAAGTAGAAAAGATTTTATCTTTGTTGATCAGTCTATATGTTTTCTATCAATTGCATATGGTGGTTGAGCAGCAGAGGTAACGAACCAGTCATGAATTCTGGGATATCATCCGGGCGCTCACGGGAGAAAAACAATAACAAAAGCAACAACCAGTCCACGGAAAGTGCTCTGCATCAGTGGCCCTTTAAGTGTTTACAACAAGCCTGTCATTTCGGCCCAATATGTGCCCAGATTTTATGCTTTATACAAGACACTTAACCTGAATATTTTGTAAACGATATATTGCATGTATTGGAAACATTTGTATGGATAAATATGGATAAGTTTTGGGGGAATACTAGTTTGCAAATGTTGGTAGGGATGACAAAATCATAAATGCTGTGTAGACTCAGGCTTATGATTAGCATCAGGCAACATATGTTGGATGTATGAAGTGACTACATGTATATTGATCTGGTAGTCAGACTCAGTGTTGTGCTTGATGATATGGATTGTTCCACATTAATCCATTACTGTTTTCTTGTCCAGATTATTTACAGACAGCTGTCCTAACTATGGCTGCAGTATTGCTGAATCTCTTGTTAAACAAGAAACATGCTCACTGTAATTACTTTGTATTGAACATGCGATTGTGATATCAAAGATCATTAATATGGTCAATAGTACAACTGAACAGGTTCATTTGATTATGTTGCACATGCTATTCAGATGACAACAATAACTGGCACAGTTAGAAATTAGGAAAGTTATTTTTCCAGTGTTTGGTGCTGGATCGTCCAGGAACAGCAAAACATCAATTCAGACCTCTTCGATGGGTTAAAATAAATGTATTTTTACCATGAACTCCATCATTACCCACACATGCAACTGCAACACACACCCACACATACAATGCTCTTTAGAATCCCTCCCTCCCTTTCTCTCTTCCTCTTTCTCTCTCTCTCTCTCTCTCACTCTCACTCTCGCTCTCCCTCTCTGGATATCATGGTAGTTCTATGTACTCCAAGATATGCCTGAACCTGGGTATGCACAATGGGTAAATTGTAGGTTCATAACTTTAATAAAGACATAAAGACACAATGAGGATTTAGTATAGAAACTGGACATGTTAGAACTTAGATGTACTCCAAATATACCTGAACCTGGTATTCACACTGGGTAATTTGTAGGTTCATAACTTTAAGCTTGCCTCATGTTATGACAACTGAACTGATATTCTGTTACAGCAGTAAACAGACAACAAGATGATGGAAGAATCATCTGACGAGCAGCCGGAGATTATCTCTCATGAAGAAGCTCAGTTAGCAGAGAAAGAGGCTGCCCAGACAGGTAGCAAGACTTACCTATATTGAGATGTCTCATTATAATCAATATTTTTACTTTGTCATCTTTGTCCAAGATAGTAGAGTTGTCATCACGCTGAAGACCCGGGTTCAATTCCCCACATGGGTACAATGTCGGGTTCAATTCCTCTTCCACAGAGGTGGGTTCTAATACATATGTTTCTCAATAAAATCCCTAAGCGGCAAGCAACCGTATTTCTGGTGTTACATCAACTTGACTACCATGTTGGGTCATATTGCTGGGGTTTTCCGGAATGGAAATAACCAAGCTGATTGCACAACTAAATCTGATTGCAAAGCAGCATGACCATGATACTAAAAAGCTCGAAACTAAACTCACTCACTCATCTTTGTGCCTTGGACTTGATTCGTTGAAAATCTAGCAGTGTGGTTTATTTTAAGATAAACAGTTCAGAATAAATGTGTCACTTCAAAACCTGGTGTGAGTCTAGTCACATGTGAAAGTTTCTTTTATTTTTGTGATAATCAAGTTGTGACATATGAATGGTTTATAACGCACTGAATCAGCTATCATCTCATAGGAAGGTAATACAGTTTGAATATTTGGACAAACATTGTATGACACTGCCTAAGCTCAGCTTCAGTGCTTTAGTAACTTCAGATGTGTGGTGAATGATTTGTTAAACTGCTGTAATTGTTTTGTTGATCTAGCTGCCGCAACCCCCTTGAAATCTGCAGCCAGCAATGTGGCAGCCCCTTCCCCACTCCCATCATTCCTTGCCACCCCTCCCACAACGCCAGGATCAACCCAGGTGGGTGCTTCATATCTGGAAATATCCTGTGTTACTAAATGTGTTTTCATGATGACCACTGTTTTTCACTAGTATTGATGTGTTAATGTTAGTTAACTTATTTTCCAAGTTTTGAATGATTGCTACCATGTATAGTATCTATGACGTATTGAGGACAAGTATTATACCTGGGATAGAGTTGCAACACCCTGTACTTTACTCAGTTTGTCAGGATGAACCTGTCACCCAGCATCCTCGGTCTATATAGTAATTGTGGAACAAGAAGTCTCAGCTATCCTTCTTTTTGACATTTTCGAGTTTGTACTGTTTAAACTCAAACATGCTCATCGTGTTTTGAGCGTTGCATGTTGGTGTAACCAATTTAGAAACATGACTAATAGAAAAATGGAGGAAAGACTCATTTTAGTTGAAGAATGTATGCTTTGTTTAAGAAATTCAAATGTGTCTGTAATAATGTATTTCCACAGGGTAAAGCAAGTCCATCCCCAGTGCCACAGAAGTAAGTAGATTTGAAACACAAATAAGCTTTGTATGTCTGTGAAGAAAAGGACTTGGACCTATTGATTATTTCTACTATTTTTTGTTCTTCATTTGTGACTTGAAGTGGGGTATTTATAGCCTATCAGGTTAGTGTTGGTGTATTATGCCTTGCATACAGGCTTCAAGCTCATTTCACAATGTCTGGCACGTGGGTTAATGTGTTAATTCATTCAAGAACCTGGTAAGTTTTGGTGGGTTAGGATTTCTTGTCTGAGAGAAGCATTTAAAGATGATAATGAAACCTTCAACATTTTCCATGAAAGTACCTTTTATTTATTGTGAAAACATTTATATGATACACAGCAACAACTAATATCTGAGGTGTTGATTTCAGACCGTCGTCCTCCATTACAACTCCCAGTGTCAAGGGACCAATAATCTCAGCAGCAGTTGCCTCCCCTTCTTCAGGAGGCACCACTGCCCCAGGTAATCTTCAATTATTTATATGTTTTGTGGCACTTCCCAGTATCCTGCCATGCAAAGCAGAGAACTGGCTTCTGAAAGGAGATTTGTACATGAGCTTTCTGTTAGACAAGGAATTATTGTGCTTCCAGAGTAATACGTGAAGCCATGTAGAGTGATACTGTCCAAACTATTTCTTCAAAGTAAAGCAAGTACAATAAACCTCAAACTATATAAATGTAAATAGTATTAAAGATGAAGTACATGCATTTCTATTGTCAAAGGTGTTCTAGAATTCTGATTGATTTTTTATGATTTCATGAAACGAGACATTCCTGGGGAATTGTTGCTGACAAGTTATCTCTGTATTTTAGATTCTCTGAGAGAATTTGTGAATTCCGAATTTTGATATACCATAAGAAAAGCGTGACTTGTTTCATTTTCTGTATCATTATCTAAAATGACATGCTATGAAAATTTGTTGCTGCTGCACCACCCCGACCCCCACACCCACCTTTCTTATCCCCCACACCCACCTTTCTTATCCCCCACCACCACCACCACCACCACTGTGAAATTGCTCAAATATTGCTGGAAATTCAGCGACTAAGAACTCTCTCATACAATATGTGTACTGTCAACACACAACATCTTCTACTGGGCAGTGAACATCAAAAGATATTATCAGATGTCCTCAACATACATATCGAGGTGTGTCATTTGTTCCAGGACATATGGAGACCCCGTACGAGGCTAGTTCATCTATTCCAGTGAGTGATGACTCTCCGGGACCCATGCCCCAGGCGGGGGGAGGCTTGTTGAGCTGGATCTCCGGCAACAGTCTGGTGTCAAAGGTCATGGAAAAGACTAAGGTGATTATTACTATCTGACAAGATCTGGCAGAGTTTCACCTGTTCACTTCTTAACTAAGTCACTGGCTTTATTTGTCATTAATTATCAACCAGCCATATGATATATTTACATAACAGTGTCACTTCTCAACCTGGTTGCCTTTAGACTTTGAAAGTGTGGAAAGTTATGTCACTTTAAAAAGAAAATGTCTGCTCTATACTATATCCCGCCTGATAAACATGGTGAATCTAGCTAGCCTCTTTTGTAGAGTCATCTCAATGATGTTTCATTTGTTCCAGAACTCTATGGAGTCTGTGATCACCACACTGGACCCAGGCATGAAGGAAATTATACGTAGGTTCCAACTGAGCTGATTGTAGTCCACCCAGCATGTCTGATGTATGGCCGTACCAAGGAGATTTATTGAAAACGTGTTTTCTGTTGCTTCATAGTTATCACACATGTAATATTCAAATATCCCACTTTTCATGGAAAATTCAGACACTTCATAATGATTGTGCTGAACAGAGTCAAAAATCCCTAATTTATGTAGAGCATCAGGGACTACAAGGTGTGGGTGTTCCATAAAACACTTGTATGTTATAAAGCTGTGCTTGCACTGTAATACAGGTTTGCCACACTGGTGAATTACAGAAAAGTTGTTTCTGTTCTTCAGGATCTGGTGGAGATATCAACATTGTTGTCACATCTACAAAGGAGTCGAAGCTCGGGGCTGTCCGAGAAGCTTTTCAACAGGTGTTTGGTCGAGCAACAATTACAGGCATGGTGAGATATACTGCAGGGCTTGAACTGATGGTTCATATGGTCAGTAGTAGTGTCAAGGACCTGGATTCTGCAGCATTGACTTCATCAACACGAATGTGAAGTTAAGACAACCAGTGAAGCAAATTCCTACCAAATGGCATTGTATTTCTGTGGGATCTCATCACAAAATATGTTTCCAGTACAACATCTTTATCAACAAGTTGTCCAAATTGATGGTATGGTGGTAAGAATGAATAGCCAGGGTGATTGAGTGTCTTACAAGAGCATGACTTGTGTGTGGTCCTGGTTGTTGTAGCTGCACAGTCTTCCACTGGACAATAGGCACAAAGGGAAGACATTGCAGCCAGTCAGTATGACTTGTGTGTGGTCCTGGTTGTTGGAGTTGCACAGTCGTCCACTGGACAATAGGCACAAAGGGAAGACAATGCAGCCAGCATGACAGTATGTGGTCCTTTGTGTGTGGTCCTGGTTGTTGCCAGTCAGTTGCACAGTCGTCCACTGGACAATAGGCACAAAGGGAAGACAATGCAGCCAGTCAGTATGGCTTGTGTGTGGTCCTGGTTGTTGGAGTTGCACAGTCGTCCACTGGACAATAGGCACAAAGGGAAGACAATGCAGCCAGTCAGTATGACTTGTGTGTGGTCCTGGTTGTTGGAGTTGCACAGTCGTCCACTGGACAATAGGCACAAAGGGAAGACAATGCAGCCAGTCAGTATGACTTGTGTGTGGTCCTGGTTGTTGGAGTTGCACAGTCGTCCACTGGACAATAGGCACAAAGGGAAGACAATGCAGCCAGTCAGTATGACTTGTGTGTGGTCCTGGTTGTTGGAGTTGCACAGTCGTCCACTGGACAATAGGCACAAAGGGAAGACAATGCAGCCAGTCAGTATGACTTGTGTGTGGTCCTGGTTGTTGGAGTTGCACAGTCGTCCACTGGACAATAGGCACAAAGGGAAGACAATGCAGCCAGTCAGTATGACTTGTGTGTGGTCCTGGTTGTTGGAGTTGCACAGTCGTCCACTGGACAATAGGCACAAAGGGAAGACAATGCAGCCAGTCAGTATGACTTTACTGAACGAAGCTGTTTTACAGGAAACAGCCAGGTCTTGGAGTGGTATTTGGAAGTGATGCACTAATAGGTGAAAATTTATGGATGTCTACTTGTTTATTATGATGCACATGGTGTCTTGAAGTATGTTGGAGTAGGAATATACAATGTGCTTCTCATAATAAAGAAGGTGACATCCATACATTCTCACCTTTCTAGAAAAAGGCCAGCACACAAAGCCCAGCTCATCATGATGATTCAGCAACTTGTGACAATCACTACAGTGCTGCATCTGATTTGATTATTCACTGCATGGTTTGATACCCTGTTTTGTTCCTGTAGGAGAGCCAGGCCACAACAGCTGCCCAGCCAGTTGGATGCACAGCTGGCCTGAAGGGAGCAGAGGAGCGCATCCAGAATCTCCGCCAGAAGAGTTCCCTGCCAGGTGACCAGCCTATTGTCTCTGTGGAGGGATTCATCATGGAACTTCTCCCTGACAGGTACACTCACGTATATATCATCATGCAGATTCTTTTGTATGGAATTTTTCATATTCAGGTTTTGGTATTATTAAGTGTAACTTTCCTGTGTGTATTAATTATGATATGTTCAGAAATATAATATGTCTAGGCATCATTTGTATTGGATGGTGGTTGTTAAAAAAATGTAGCCAAGTTGTTGGGGTTTGGGTTATTCATTATATAGGGGGAGGTGGGGGAGGCAGATTCAGGAGCGGCAAACCAAAACATATGACAGTCTCTTAGGAGGTGATCAAACATTTAATACATATTCGTGAAGGATGAATTAATGTACAAGAATAAGGGAGGGTCTTCTGAAAATATCGCCAACATTTGGGATGGTCATTATTTTCAGCACATTGTTGCATCAGAAACATATGCCCCCAAACCACCTGCCCCTGGTCACATGGGTTGAAGACCAAGTGATTTAATGTTATAACATCTTTCTAAGGTGGATATTGGTATGGCGTTTCTTTCAACAGATGGTACGAAATGAGCTGCTTGGTACTCCAAGACCCCAGCCACAGAATTGACCTGCAGACCTTCTCCCAACCAACTCTCATCCCAACAGAATACGTCCTCTCTGCACAAGACCAGACCCCCGTCCACCTACCCCCTCCGCTGGTCAGGACTTGCTGTCACCATCGGCCAAGTGATCGAGACAGCCCAGCCTCACATCGGTCATACTGACTGGCAAAGTGTTCTTGTTGGTGTGAGCCGGAGAGAAGCTCTACTGCTGGCAGCACGGGGACTGGCCTACATGTACCAGCAGCGGTTGCCCACATCGTTCATCTCATGACCTGCCCATCACTTATCTACAAAACACTGAATCTAATGCATTTACCTGAGTGTAAATCTGTTGAGGGGAGATGAATATTTCTCATGGACATAGCTGATTTTTCTTTAAGTCTAATGCTGTTGTGTAAAAGGTGTGAACAGTATTATATGGAATCAGTTACGGACATGACTCATTGATGGTTTTTACAAAAGTTGACACTCGGCTACTTGCATATAGCCATGTCCATAATTCAAGGGCTCCCCAGTAACCAATGTCTTTCCTTGGATGGCTAGGATTTGATGATATGTAACCATATAAAGGTCCATGCTAAGCAGTTTGCCAGTCGACATCAAGGGCAAATGATATGTTCTTAAATGACAATAGATCCTCTAGCAAACTTGTGTATGACAACTATTTCAACGCTTTCAATGCTTAATCATTGCTCGCAGTTTCAGTTGTTGAGACTACATCACACATGCGAATATAACTTGCATAGTCGTATTGTAGACAGGAAGTGAAATATTTATTCGCAAATGTGATATCAAACTGATTGTGAAATATTGCAAACATGTGAACAGTGAGATGCAAATATGATTTGTTCATTCTCCAGTATTTAGATGGTGTTGTACTCCTTTGTTTGCTAGCATCTTCTAGTGTTGGGGGTGTAACATTCATGGGAGTACCATGATACACGATACAACTCTCCTTTGTTTACTGGTATCTTCCATACTTCTAGTGTTAGGGATGTAACATTCATGGGAGTACCACGATACCCGATACAACTCTCCTTTGTTTACTGGTATCTTCTAGCGTTAGGGGTGTAACATTCATTGGAGTACCACGATACACGATACAACTCTCCTTTGTTTACTGGTATCTTCTAGCGTTAGGGGTGTAACATTCATGGGAGTACCATGATACACGATACAACTCTCCTTTGTTTACTGGTATCTTCCATACTCCTAGTGTTGGGGGTGTAACATTCATTGGAGTACCACGATACACGATACAACTCTCCTTTGTTTACTGGTATCTTCCATACTCCTAGTGTTGGGGTGTAACATTCATTGGAGTACCACGATACACGATACAACTCTCCTTTGTTTACTGGTATCTTCTAGCTGTTAGGGGTGTAACATTCATGGGAGTACCAATGATACACCCATACAACTCTCCTTTGTTTACTGGTATCTCCTACTCCTAGCGTTAGGGTGTAACATTCATGGGAGTACCATGATACGATACAACTCTCCTTTGTTTTACTGGTATCTTCTAGCGTTAGGGGTGTAACATTCATGGGGTGTAATACCACGATACCGCGATACAACTCTCCTTTGTTTACTGGTATCTTCCATACTCCTAGCGTTAGGGTGTAACATTCATTGGAGTACCATGATACACGCGATACAACTCTCCTTTGTTTACTGGTATCTTCCATCTTCTAGTGTTAGGGTGTAACATTCATGGGAGTACCACCATACACCTATACAACTCTCCTTTGTTTACTGGTATCTTCCATACTTCTAGCGTTAGGGGTGTAACATTCATTGGAGTACCACGATACACCGATACAACTCTCCTTTGTTTACTGGTATCTTCTAGCTGCTTAGGGGTGTAACATTCATTGGAGTACCACGATACACCCATACAACTCTCCTTTGTTTTACTGGTATCTTCTAGCGTTAGGGGTGTAACATTCATGGGAGTACCATGATACACGCGATACAACTCTCCTTTGTTTACTGGTATCTTCCATACTTCTAGTGTTGGGGTGTAACATTCATTGGAGTACCACGATACACCGATAGAACTCTCCTTTGTTTACTGGTATCTTCTAGCGTTAGGGGTGTAACATGTAACATTCATGGGAGTACCATGATACACGATACAACTCTCCTTTGTTTACTGGTATCTTCTAGCGTTAGGGGTGTAACATTCATTGGAGTACCATGATACACGATACAACTCTCCTTTGTTTACTGGTATCTTCTAGCGTTAGGGGTGTAACATTCATTGGAGTACCACGATACACGATACAACTCTCCTTTGTTTACTGGTATCTTCCATACTCCTAGTGTTGGGGTGTAACATTCATTGGAGTACCACGATACACGATACAACTCTCCTTTGTTTACTGGTATCTTCCATACTCCTAGCGTTAGGGGTGTAACATTCATTGGAGTACCATGATACACGATACAACTCTCCTTTGTTTACTGGTATCTTCCATACTTCTAGTGTTAGGGGTGTAACATTCATGGGAGTACCATGATACACGATACAACTCTCCTTTGTTTACTGGTATCTTCCATACTTCTAGCGTTAGGGGTGTAACATTCATTGGAGTACCAATGCATACACCATACAACTCTCCTTTGTTTACTGGTATCTTCTATACGTTAGGGGTGTAACATTCATTGAGTACCACGCGATACACGATACAACTCTCCTTTGTTTACTGGTATCTTCTAGCGTTAGGGGTGTAACATTCATGGGAGTACCATGATACACGATACAACTCTCCTTTGTTTACTGGTATCTTCTAGTGTTGGGGGTGTAACATTCATGGGAGTACCACGATACACGATACAACTCTCCTTTGTTTACTGGTATCTTCTATACGTTAGGGGTGTAACATTCATTGGAGTACCATGATACACCTATACAACTCTCTCCTTTGTTTACTGGTATCTTCTAAGCGTTAGGGGTGTAACATTCATGGGAGTACCACGATACACCATACAACTCTCCTTTGTTTACTGGTATCTTCCATACTCCTAGTTAGGGGTGTAACATTCATTGAGAGTACCATGATACCGCGATACAACTCTCCTTTGTTTACTGGTATCTTCCATCTTCTAGTGTTAGGGGTGTAACATTCATGGAGTACCCATGATACACGATACAACTCTCCTTTGTTTACTGGTATCTTCCATACTTCTAGCTTAGGGGTGTAACATTCATTGGCATTACCATGATACACGATACAACTCTCCTTTGTTTACTGGTATCTTCCATACTCTAGCGTTAGGGGTGTAACATTCATTGGAGTACCACGATACACGCGATACAACTCTCCTTTGTTTACTGGTATCTTCTAGCGTTAGGGTGTAACATTCATTGGAGTACCACGATACCGCGATACAACTCTCCTTTGTTTACTGGTATCTTCTAGCGTTAGGGTGTAACATTCATGGAGTACCATGATACCCGATACAACTCTCCTTTGTTTACTGGTATCTTCCATACTTCTAGTGTTGGGGGTGTAACATTCATTGGAGTACCACGATACAACTCTCCTTTGTTTACTGGTATCTTCCATACTCCTAGTCCTTTGTTTACTGGTATCTTCCACAACTCCTTTGTTTACTGTTGGGGGGGTGTAACATTCATGGGAGTACCACGATACATGCAACAACTCTCCTTTGTTTACTGGTATCTTCTAGCGTTAGGGGTGTAACATTCATTGGAGTACCAATGATACACGATACAACTCTCCTTTGTTTTACTGGTATCTTCTAGCGTTAGGGTGATACACGTATACATTCATTTGTTTACTGGTATCTTCTAGGCGTTAGGGGTGTACATTCATGGGATACCACGATACAACAACTCCTTTGTTTACTGGTATCTTCCATACTCCTAGTGTTAGGGGTGTAACATTCATTGGAGTACCACGATACACGATACAACTCTCCTTTGTTTACTGGTATCTTCCATACTCCTAGTGTTGGGGTGTAACATTCATTGGAGTACCACGATACATACATACAACTCTCCTTTGTTTACTGGTATCTTCCATACTCCTAGCGTTAGGGGTGTAACATTCATTGGAGTACCATGATACACGATACAACTCTCCTTTGTTTACTGGTATCTTCCATACTTCTAGTGTTAGGGGTGTAACATTCATGGGAGTACCATGATACACGATACAACTCTCCTTTGTTTACTGGTATCTTCCATACTTCTAGCGTTAGGGGTGTAACATTCATTGGAGTACCACGATACACGATACAACTCTCCTTTGTTTACTGGTATCTTCTAGCGTTAGGGGTGTAACATTCATTGGAGTACCACGATACACGATACAACTCTCCTTTGTTTACTGGTATCTTCTAGCGTTAGGGGTGTAACATTCATGGGAGTACCATGATACACGATACAACTCTCCTTTGTTTACTGGTATCTTCTAGTGTTGGGGGTGTAACATTCATGGGAGTACCACGATACACGATACAACTCTCCTTTGTTTACTGGTATCTTCTAGCGTTAGGGGTGTAACATTCATTGGAGTACCATGATACACGATACAACTCTCCTTTGTTTACTGGTATCTTCTAGCGTTAGGGGTGTAACATTCATGGGAGTACCACGATACACGATACAACTCTCCTTTGTTTACTGGTATCTTCCATACTCCTAGCGTTAGGGGTGTAACATTCATTGGAGTACCATGATACACGATACAACTCTCCTTTGTTTACTGGTATCTTCCATCTTCTAGTGTTAGGGGTGTAACATTCATGGGAGTACCATGATACACGATACAACTCTCCTTTGTTTACTGGTATCTTCCATCTTCTAGTGTTAGGGGTGTAACATTCATGGGAGTACCATGATACACCTATACAACTCTCCTTTGTTTACTGGTATCTTCCATATTCTAGCGTTAGGGGTGTAACATTCATTTGGATACCACGATACAACTCTCCTTTGTTTACTGGTATCTTCTAGCGTTAGGGGTGTAACATTCATGGGAGTACCATGATACACGATACAACTCTCCTTTGTTTACTGGTATCTTCCATACTTCTAGCGTTAGGGGTGTAACATTCATTGGAGTACCACGATACACGATACAACTCTCCTTTGTTTACTGGTATCTTCTAGCGTTAGGGGTGTAACATTCATGGGAGTACCATGATACACGATACAACTCTCCTTTGTTTGCTAGCATCTTCTAGTGTTGGGGGTGTAACATTCATACTGGAGTGTACCACGATACCACGATACACAACTCTCCTTTGTTTACTGGTATCTTCCATACTTCTAGTGTGTAAACATTCATGGGAGTACCATGATACACGATACAACTCTCCTTTGTTTGCTAGCATCTTCTAGTGTTGGGGGTGTAACATTCATTGGAGTACCACGATACACGATACAACTCTCCTTTGTTTACTGGTATCTTCCATACTCCTAGTGTTAGGGGTGTAACATTCATTGGAGTACCACGATACAATGCTCATTCATGACTTTTGTTTCCTGAATTTGTTTTTGGTGTGTTGCAGTCTGCGGCTATGCTGCCATTCTGTTTGGTCTAGTCAGTTCAGTTCAGCTGATAATAGTCCAAAAATAACACCTTAACCAACAAAATATTATGCTGAGAACCAAATTTGGACTTATTGACCAAAATCGGTTTTGCACAGACTGTGTGTGATCATTGCAGTAATGATGTTAATCTTCATGCTTTGTATCATGTATCTTTGTATCGTGTATTTGACAAGATGCTTTGTTCCAGCTTTATTCAGGTAAGGTTGAATGTGCTGTGTAACTTTCCATTATGACACAGCCACAAATGACATCAAATCATTGTGCGCAGTTACAGGCCTTAGATGCAAAGATTTACTGGTCATGGCCTCAAAACCCAGGTCCATTCTGATCACAATCCTTTGTTTATCAACACCTTTCGCTTCCTGTCGGTTTAACCAAAGCGATAAACGCCATTGACTTGTGTAATGATGGTTTTTCCTCTTACAGTAAGCAGTGACATTGTGATATAACTAAACTGCATTAAGCAAAGTTCACTCATTAGCATGAACAAGAGAGGGTCGTCTTTCATGAAGCTTTGCCTAATGCTGTTGATTTCAAGCAATGCCTTAATGCATAATACCTATCTATTGTATTGATACTAGTTAGTGATTACAGACCATGTTACTATGTTCATTAAATACAAGTCCTCTTGTCCATTGAAAACCTGTGTGGGAGCCAAGCACAACATCCATTTCCTATCGGGAACAACATCCCATGGGTTTGAATTCAGACCCACAGACAGCTTTCTGTT